CATTCCGAGACAAGTGGTGGAGTCGTTGTGGATGTGGCGAATGTGGAGAATAAGGGCTCGTTGCTAATCATCTTTTCTGTGGGTGAGTGGACAATAAAAGGTAGAGAACAAGAGATTTATTGCACGTGATGAGAAACTACAGTACTTGTGGACCGATAGCCAGGGCGTAGAAACACAGCAAATGATATTTTTTAGATCGATAACTGCATCGTATCCATGTGCCACTAGATGCCAATGGGGAGCGCCAGGCTATATGTCTGGAGAGATGCAAAAAAGACGGCAAATTAGCCGCTTTACACCGCTAATACGACGCTGCACAAGTCGTTTTATTCCAATTGACCGAGTCCGCTGCACTTTATGGGCATGTAGTAAATCGGCTGTGAGAAGGTAAGGTTTGTGGTCAAGGCAAATCGAAAAGCCTACCTGTCAGATCATCGTAGCGCACTGCATCTTTTTCAGCTGTGGTAGTCTTCTGCACTTCTCTTCGCACTTTGGATGCTTGGACGATTCTAGTAGGCATTTGGATGAGGAAATGATGTGGGGACTAAGCAACAACTTACTCTGCTATCTTCTCCACTTCGTGCCAGAAATCGTGTGGATTGCTGATCTCTTTAACGCGAGAGAGGTCATAGCTGAACTTGACGGCGGAGAGCCCGTCTGAAGGTTGGCTCAACAGTAAGCCACGGAAAATTGAGGCAGTCCCGGCTTCGACGTCAGCAGGCTCATCATCCTCGACTTCATTCCCCGTTTCGCTTTCAGCATCTTTCTTGGTATAATGCGTATGCTCTGACACATTTTCGTGCTTGTCTCCTCCGTCAGTTACCGCTCCTTCTTTCTCTCTTTGCTGTTCTTCGAGACGATTAAGGTGAAGCTCAAAATCCTCGTTGGTTATCCGTTTGATCATCTTCGACGTCGAGTTCGTATAATATGATGAATTTATGCGAACAAGTCCGCCTGAGAGGGGGGGAGCTTGTCAGATCCCAATCACCAGCGCTGGCGCGCTGCGCGCGTGGCTGGCCAATCCATGACTAATATCTCCACGGGGCATTTCGCGCACGTTACAACACCAACAGGAAAAGGTGCCCTGTATCAGAAATGGGGGGAGCTTGCGACCCCCATGATGGGATCAGTGACCACAACGTTCGCCGTGCGCAACCGTCACAAATGCCGACAAATAACAGTCCAAGAAAGGGAAGGTATTCGTCGCGAGGGATGGATGGGCGTCAACACTGCAGGTCTAAGGTGCAATCGGAATTAACATGCTGGCCTCAATGAGCTGGGCGGGGAAGTCCTGTGGTGTGCCTTGCTGAACAAAAAACACGAATTCTTCACGAAACGCGGCCCCAGGATTGAACATTGATTTAAGCTGCAAGACGTTGAAACAGAATACAGAAATAGTGAGGGATTTGCCGCGGTAGCCCACACCACATAGTCATTGCTGACAAGTTTTAAACAAGCAGCAGTAGCCTGTGGGTCCTCTAAATAATCCACCGAAGCAACAGGGTCGATAGTAAGCACAACGAAAGTGCTCCCGATTGGAATGAAATTGCCTGACGCTGAATCCGAGTCGTCCATAAGGAAGATGGGGAATACGGAGTCAATAGGGATGGGTGAAGTGACAATACAATGTCTGGACCACGGACGCCCACAGAGCAACGGGAGAACTAGACTCGAACAACATGAAGAGAACAACAAAAATACTTGACAAGCCTGTGAACGGGTGACACGTGACACCACCACCCAAATTGCAGATGCAGGGATCGCGAAAACCACAAATATGTAAAGATTCTCGTCGAAAATATATCGAAAGCAAGGGCACAGCAATGGTGGTGGATATATTTGGCTCGCGAGGGTTATCCAGCATGCAAGTCGGGAGACATGCACAGTAAACGGCGCAACAGCGATTTGGCACGGGCAACACCGCGACTTACGGCTCGTGGTATGCGGAGGCCCGCCGCTTTCGAGGCTTGGTGGCCTTCCAATAGCTCAGCTTGAACGAGTGAGTTCAACAAGATGAGGAGATAACGAAGTTGACATACCCATTCGACCATCATAACGTGCTGCATCCCTCGCAGCTATAGCGGCCTTGTCCGCTTCTCTCCGCGCTTTGGAGGCTTCAACGATTCTCGGATTCATGTCAGAGAAATATTTGGTGACTGACACTATGACTTACTGAGCAATTCTTTCTACCTCCTGCCAGAATTCGCGAGGGTGGTTGATCTCCTGAACGCGGGAGAGGTCGTAAGTGAATTTGACAGCGGGAAGCTGGTCTGAAGGTTGGCTCGACAGCAAACCGCGAAAAATTGAAGCAGTCTCGGCCTCGACTGGATCAGTAGGCCCTTCATCCTCGACTTGATTCTCCATTTTGCTTTCTACATCTTTCTCGGTATAATGCTCTGACGCATTTTCGTGCTTGTCTCCTCCGCCAGTTGCCGCTTCCTCTTTCTCTTTTTGTGCTTCAAGACGATCAAGGCGAAGTTCAAAATCCTCCCTTGTTATCCGTTCAACTCGCAATTGGTCTTCGTCGTTGAGTTCGTATACAATGGGATCAGCGACCGAGACGTTGGCCGTACGCACATTGGCAGTCACGAATGCCGACAAATAGCAGTTCGGGAAGGGAAAGGGATTTGTCGCCGTCTTCACTGGTTCGCGTTTGGAGGGATGAGCGTCAACACTGCAGGTTTGGGGTGCAATTGGAACCGACAGGCTGGCGTCGATAAGTTGGGCAGGAAAGTCTTGCGGCAAGCCTTGCTGAACGAAAAACATGAATTCTCTGCGAAACGCGGCCCCAGGATTGAAGAACGACTTGATCTGCAGAAAGGTTAAAGGGAACCAAAGGACGGTGAAGAGCTTACCGCAGGAGCATAGACTACATAGTCCTTGCTGACAAGTTTTTGCACTAGCGGCAGTGGCCTCTGGGTCCTCCAAATAATCCACCGAAGCAACAGGGTCGATAGTAAGCACGACGAAAGTGCCTCCAACCGGGAATGAAGTTGTGCGACTTTGAGTCGTCCATGAGATAGGGAATGAGGAATCAACAAGGATAGGCGAGATGACACTAAGACGTCTGGATCATGGACGTCCACAAAGCAACGGGAGAACAACAAGAACAAGAGAACAATAGTGAACAAGAAATAACGGGCGTAACCAGACTGTGACAAATGTGACATGATATGGACAACGACCGTGAAACAACAACTATAGGTGTCTTCTACTTGTGGTTTCTCCTCTGGGGCTCTTCTCGGTGACGATGCAAACCTCTCAACATCTTTGACCCAACGACTACTGCATGCTATTGAGTTTTAAATTGTCTTGACATCCCGAGAATACGGTGTAACGTGTTCTAGCAAAAAAACAAGGTATCTATGCACAAACACACAATACAGCAACCAGCTCTTTTGTTTGTTTTTCTGGTTATAAAGAACCGCACTGGTTCTATGCATGGTATCTACAACCTGATATGGCGGCCTCTCCCTCACAGTCAAATTCCTGTCAAGACTGCAACAACCCTGGCCCAACTCGTGCCCATTATCCGGAGGGAAAGGGCCAATGGACGGTCCGCAACGGCGCAGTCAGAACTGCCGAATATACCTCGATCCGGGCGCCGTTGTTTGGTCTTTTTTATGGGAAGCGTCAAATCAACCATTCTTACCGGCGCGGCCGCCCACCTTCCTTTAGGAAAACCCGGCCGACCATGCATAGTGATGAACACACTCAGAAATGAAGTTTGTCTCATGTGTAGCTTCAGTGGTGCCCCACCACCTGCTATACTCCGCGAATTCCTTATCCCTGTATTTCCAAAGCAGGTGGAGGGACAGGAACATATTCACTCTGTTCCTGAGTGGACCCACAAGTATGACCAATGGGTCCTCGCCGTGCCTTTCCAACCTCTCGTTCAAGACGTGCAAAAACTTCCATACTGGCAATCTGAACTGATACCAACTGGAGTTCATTTCGACAAAGAAAATATCGACAAGTTGGAACGTTTGAGTCGCGACATCGCTGGGAAGTGGTTTAACCGCGTCACAACGGACGCCGCCTTCAAAGAGGAAGTCGAAAAATATCTCGCGGTAAGAGCTTCAAATCATTCCCAAGCTGACTCGGATTCCGATTAACGGAACTGTGCGATAGAACTGGGCGCTGGCAGACTCCATGTCCACGACAAGCCCTCGCTTTACGGGCCCTCCAATGCGCGCTCCGTCCAAGTATACCGCTCGCTCTTCTATATCTACAAGACTCGCGCTCGGTCCGGAGATTGCGCAGGCCATAGAGACCGTACGCGTGAATAAATTGACTCGGACCGCAACCGTGACTAGCAAACTTGATTCCGACGACTTGAAGTCGGTGACCTCTGGAAAAAGCAGTGGCAGCAAGCGGATGGGGTTTGTAAGAATTAACTTTACTAGCCAACGCCTACGAGTATGTCCTCCCCTGTTGTTCTATTACATGGATTCACTGATGTCTTCAAGTTCTACTAGTACAGTAGTACTAGAGGCAAAATATTCAACTATAATCTGCATTATTATCTCGAACTCTCTGTTCTACTATTCAGATCTCTCGAACCTCTCTGTATCCTTACTGCTATCTATACCCCCTTGTGTCTTGTCTCTTCATCAACAATGACAAAAAATCTATCCCTTAATGCCACAACGTATTAATATCTTTAGTAGAATCCGAGCTAGAATCCTGATATTGGGATAGATTCTTTCGTTGCAAGGTATCACTATCAGGTACCTACATACATAGTGACCCCCATTAAATGAAACGAACAATAATTACAGTCTGTACAGAAGTGAATATTCGAAACAAGAAATAGACCGGTCAAGCAGGATGAGTAATCAATGTGACTCTGTGACCCCGGGCCGGTTCCTCAAACTGTAAGGTAGTTGTTCTTTCAGGAAGTTCTTGTTCTTTTGGTTGTTGAACATTGATCTGTGGGTCTCTTACTATACGATGAGAAAACCAAGTTGTCGTCTTCTCCCTTTCCATTGCACACCCATATGACCCCCGCGTTTGTCCCTAGCATTGGCAGCTTCGCGGTCCTCAAAATCGATGCCGTGGCTTCTGTTGCCTATCTGGATGACCTCGAGGCCACAGCTGCGGCTGCCAGGCTCGTCAATCGGGACTATGTTGTCTACGCCCTGCGTGTGAGTGGATGCATCTCGCTTTACTCGTCGTTAATTTAAACTCAAGTGTCCATCCAGCCCGGTGGTTTGCCTAATGCGCACGCTGAGTTTCGAGAGGCGCGGCCTGCATTTATCATGCAAGGCATCCCCCAAGATATTCCTGAAAGGTTCATTGAAGCGGGGATGTCAATGCCTATTGCCCCCCAAACCTTCAGTGTCGATGAGCACCCGTCGCACCGTGAACCATTGGTCACAACCCCAAATCCATTCCCATGGCCGAACTGCTTTATGACGATCTTTACGCATACCGAAGTCCGTTGTAGGAATGTTCCGAGGGAAGAGTCGGTTGTCTGTGAGCTTGGCCAAGATGAGAGAACCCGATACCGCCATTTCGCAGGGGAGGACGACGACCGACAGGGGGCCCTCAAAGACGAGCAAGAAGCAACAAATTCGGATGCTTCAAGCTTGCAAGATAGCTCTGAGGATGAAATGAGTGTCGGTGTCGGCGAAGACGGTGCTGAAGAAACTCTCGACGAACCTGAGGCTGACGTGGAACCACTTAACGAGGACGAAACTGCGGCTTTCTTCCGTGAACTACTGTCCGCCGAAGTACCAGAGGATCTCATAACGGTCACCTTCTCGTACGACCTCCACCGGGTTAAAAAGTTGAATAACCCACAACAATATTTTGACGAAGTCGACAGCATTGCTGAGTGTGTATTCCACTGAATTTGAAAATGCGCGCTCAAAATCAATAAAGGATCATCAAAGCATCCCAAGCGCGCAAGGATGCCACCAAAATTTCAGTAGCCCAACGCAATGCAGACCGCTATGACGATAAAACGGGTAGGTCCTGATATTTCGGTCTTGCCTCATTTGACATTTCTCTAGCGGAGCTCTTGCAGAACCACCAAGCTTCGCAAGACTCAGATGCACCTTCCATGACTTGTGAGACCAAGCCTTCTTTCCCAGAGCAACCACACATTTCTGTTGGGCATCGAATGTCGCAAGTGCTTGTTCGCGGTGCACGTTTAGCTAAAACCCTTATTCGTCGCATTCTGTGTATGTCTTCGTCGCACAATCCGTAGACTCTCATATATACCCCTCGCTGTGCTGTTGCTCTCAATGTGGAAAAGTGGAATATAGTTAGTTGACGCGACACAACACTCATATTCCAAGTCTTACTACCTTCAAAATCACGCTCTGAGCACTGGTAACAAAAGAAAAGTCGGCAAGGACCATGCCTAGATAATTTATATATGCAGCATACTCTACGTGTGTGTGGGGGGGGGATCCGTGTCGAGGGCCAGATTATCGTGCTATGTACAAAGACGGCCCCGAGGACAATGAAGCAGTTACTTGCGAACAAACTTTTACATTTGACGCGTGATGTGGTCGACATCGCGCCAGCTCTTGAGGAGCGTTCGGCGAATCGTGGCCATACCGGGCTCGGCATCACCATGGTCTGGGTGGGTGTACCCGCCGGCCGCCATGGTAACGATTTCTTCGGCACTGCGACGGTCGGCAGGCGCGAATGGCTGGTTCCATGACGTGAAGACGAACGTGCTGGGATCTGGGGTGGTGTGCTACAAGAAAGGGGATAGGTCAGCTGGAAGGTGAAAGCAGGAGAATGCAGTGCAACTGACAGCCGTGATCTCATGGAGTTCGCGTTGGATTGCGAGGCAGAAGCTGTCGAGATCTGTGGGGCGGAATCAGAGGCGAAAGTGTACAGGACAAAAACAAGGCATACCGAGATCGTTGAGGTCATAGTTGAAGGGGTTTTCGCTACGGCAAGTCAGTAAACACACACGTGGACAATCAACTAGACACAAACATTTCTTGACCGATTTCCAAGAATCCAAGGAGAAGGAAGGACGCAAACGCCGTTCCGGGGATCGTCAGCCAGTGCAGAGCGCTCACAACTTGGAAGGGAAGGAAGAGCAGGTAAAGCCTACGAGAATGAGTCGTCGTTCTAGTCGCATTCAACCCGCCAATACGCACCACAACGACATGCGCAAATGAGCCTGGTAAGCAAATGGCAACGGCGTATTGCCGATACGGTCCAGATTCGAAAGCGTGTCCTGAAGCGTGGCAATGTTGTTCATGAGACCAGTAGCAAGAGCTGGTTGAAGCCAGCCATTCTTCAAGCAATCTAGAAAACAAGTTAATACCGTTTACCTAATATTGTTTCGAATACACACAAGCCAGGTAGCTGTAAATAAAAGATGTCAACGCCAAGTTACCTATGCAGGGAGAAGACTAACTTGTTAAGATAAATTGTCACTTCAAGGGGGACATTGCTCTCAGTAAAGCTGGGTTTGATTTTCCTGCCCAACGAGTCTCGGAGACGACGCTTGTTCTTCCGTCTGCAGCACTTGGTGAGGACGGCGAAGATGCGGAGGAATGGGAAGTAGTCGAAGAACGATGCCTCAGGCGGGTTCTTGGCGGGCTTCAATGGGCGGTGGCTCTGAATGTCCGCAAGCGCCTTCTCGGGATCCACCGAATTTGATCGACTGGGCTTGCCGCGACCAACCAGTGTCCGCACCCAGTTGCTGCTGGTTTCTGATTTGAAGTCCTCATTAAGTGATGGCGGAGCGGTAGCACCGCGAGAGGGCGGTGGCGGCTGGGCTTTGTGAAGGGGATATTCTGCTTCTTCTGAAGCTGCCCATAAGGGGAGCATGTCAGCTTCTGTCTTGGGTCCGACGGAATTGGCATAGCGAGGGAGGAAACAGATCAATGGGTAGAGATCTTCGTAGTAAACACCAGTTTCGCCACGAAGGAAGTGCTGAAGGAGGAGTTAGGAGTAGAAAAATATAAATGAGATTAGATAAAGCACCTTGACCGAGACAGAGAAAGCTTGGACCAAGTTGATCATTGATTTTTTCTCGATCACGCTTTGCACGGTCGTCATCGTGTTCTTCTCCTTGTCGGTTCGCTCAAAAGGAATGTGTACCCAGATCTGGACCGGTTAAACTTTGTTGAATATTGACTGATAGCTGTACTGACAATTTGAGCGACATTTCGGGACGCTATTTGAATATTGGTCCACATTTTGCGACCTTCCTGATACCTGTTCCCAGTTGGAACCAATGAATCCTCGAAGGTAAGCAGACGCACCTTTCATAGGCCGAAGACGTTCTGAAACTGATGACGAGACCGAGAACGGTACCAAGGACGGTCAGCAAGCTGTTGCTGATTGCGAGGTTGTGAGTTTTTGTTTCGGTGACGACGGCGACCGCTAAAGAATCCATCAACATCCTTGGACACTCTGATCAGAGTATAACGCACCGACAGCTACGGCAGTGAAAAATAGCGTCTCAGGCCAAACGTCGTTGATGACCTGGAACGTCATTTCAGTCATGAATGTAGAGCATGCTAATGGCAACGCACCGTCGCGCTGAACTTGCGCATGACATGGCCACCGCTGAAAAGGGGGTTTTGGGCCACCATAGTGAGGTCTCAGGCCAAGGGGGAAAACGGGGGAAAGTGCCGAAAATAAAGTCAAAGGATTGCGTGGCGTCAGTGGATTCGTTGCACGTATAAATGTTCCTCCGCTGACAAGGCCAGACTTCGCTGGAGTTGAAAGCAGGAATGAAGCGGGAGCTAGTGGGAGGGAAGAAAGAGAGTCGCGTGCCGTTATGACGATGGGTATAAATGTTCTTGCCGGACCGCATCACGATCAGAAAGCACTGACATTGGGCGTCGGCGCTTCAGCCTTCCGTTGGACCTCCTCGACCAAAATCCAACTTTGATACGACTGCATCCTACTGACTTGACTTTCCTCAATCTATCCTTCCCCATGATCTATTGTTTGCTCTGATCTCAGCGCCATGATTTTAGATGCGCCCTGTTCCCAAGGCGAGGTCACGGTCCCAGGTTTACGCCTGCAGGTAACCATGAGCCGCCGACCCTTCCTCAAACTGCTTTTCCTGCTTGCCAAGACCAGCACGCTGCAAAGGTCGCCCCCGGTCCCCGCCGAAGACTTCAACATCAACTTGTCATTGGCGATCAAACCTCTTTACATTGCGCGCCGACTCTACTAGACTCAGATGTCATTCTCCTGCTGTTCTCCTGGCCTGAGTTCCACCTTTCAACCACAGCGTGCTCGTTGTCATTCAGACTCGAAATGGACAAAGTTTAAGTTGCACGCCCTCTTCGAAGAAGATCGGGTCTCCGCTTGTGCCGCTTCTGAATCAGTGGCAGAACAAAACTACGCCATCCTGCGACACTCGCTGGGTTCGCCACCGAATACTATCCAGTCCGAGACCTCTAGTCAGTCCAGTGTCTTGCTGTTGTCAACCGTGGTCATGACGATCCCGGAACATCGTTTCGAAGTAACAGTAGTGGCGAAATGACCTCACCAGGAAGAGAACCAGTCAGATCGGTTCATCTGCGATGGTCAGCACTCGACTTGGACCAGACGGAATAAGGAGGAATCCAGTCAGTCCTGCATACAAAGACTTTTGTGACGAGACACAAAGTAGGTCACATTGTTCCGTGAACGTGCTACAATCTAAGCTGTTGTGTTCAGTCCGGAACCATGAAACATGCTTTGTTCAAGCTCGTTATCTCCTACATTATCTGCTGTTTGTTTTATTTTGCAGGCATCCATTGTAGCCCGGGAATGGTCAGGGACATATAAGAGCTTGCCCCCACTCCGAAATGCCACCCGAACCATCGCTCGTACAATGACTTCAAAGCCCTTCCTTCGATTTGTTCCAGCAACTGGGGCCTTTGCTGCTATCCGAATCGATCCTGTTGCATCTTTAGCCCATCTCGACGACCCGCTGGCTCAATTGGCGGCTGCAAATATGGAATGCAAGGACTACATTGTCTACGTCGGAGTCAGTGTTCCAATGGCTTCTATCCAGTACTGCACCTGACCTCTGTGCTCAGAAGCATGTGCTGCGTCATCGTACAATCGCTTTCCACAAGGAGAACGTGGACTTCGTTGTCCAGGGCTTACCAATACCCATTCCCGACCATCATATCGAGCTGTCAACATTCATACCGATTTCCCCCACCCTAGGTTCTGAGTCTTCCCCACCGCCGCTCTCACCAAGCGGCGACTTCCCGTGGTCGGACTGCTATCTAACTCCCTTTATATCGGCCACCGTGCGGACGAAAACTATCCGCTCCAACAAACCAATCCTTTGTCGCCTTGGGATGTTCGAACGCGCTCGCTGTAGCATGGCTCTTGAACACGGTCGGACACGTCAACACAGTCTGCAACGCGCTGCGGAGGAAAACGGCGCCACCAACTCCAACATGCCAGTGCCCAGCTCTCCGGCTTTGAGCGCCTTGGATGTGAACTCCGAGTCGAAGCTGGATAGTGACATGCGGTCCATGTCAGACAGAAACTTGGTCGCATCTATTAGAGCCACGAATCAGCTCAAAGAGGCCCCCAACGACATGTTGACGGTCACTTTCACCCATGATTTGCCCGCCATTGACAAACTAAATGACCCACGTTCGTTTTTCGAAGAAGTTGAGCTTATTTCTTGGTAGGCTCCAGGATTCCGCAATCCCACTAGCATTATCGTAACGGAAATATGACAGCTTCACACGGGAGTCAATTGCCCACAAGGCCCGTCGGGAAGCCGATGAAGCCGAGGCCGATGCGCGAAGACTAGCACTTGGTCATCGAGCTGGTTAGCACTGTTTTTTCGCGGTAAACTGCGCTACATTCGATTACAGATGCTTACCATAAGCTGAATGGCGGCGTCTGGGGTATTTCTGATGAGAACCTTCGCCCTGAGCACGAATCTGCCAGTGCCTTCAGGTCCCGACTTGCGTCCAGGATTCGACGTTTCTTCCATGTTTCAACCTGAACCTAGCTCTCCCCCTTGCAAGCAACTTGAACGCTGTCTACACAATTTACATGACTCGATCATCTGCTGCATGCATCGGCACTGGCAGCTTGCGTTGCGTAGGTTTTCTGCGTAAGTATTAGGAAATGACGACATCTCCGAGCTGTTTTAGAAGTGATCGTCGGATACTTATCTCGTTCATGTAAAATTAGACGATATGACGCGTATGGACGCGTTCAAATTGAAGTATGTTGATAACACGTGTGCGAGTTTGATCTCTCACGTGCACACGCTGATGCCGCCGTCGTTTTTCTACTTACCTCCCACCACCTTAAGATTCTTTCGACACTCACATATCGATACTCGCTCAAGCTCATCACCGCCATATTCCCACTGGTGCCCGAGGTAACTCCTCCCCGGCTTCCCTATGCCTGCTAATAGAACACGACTTTCGATCGCACAAAGGACTTCCATGCGGCGTGAAACCGGTGTTGAAGCTTTCTCTCGTGGCATAATGCGTCGTATCTCCGCTTCAGGGACTCCTTTTACGCCGCCTGGTTAGTCTACTCGAGCAGATTGACGACGGTATTCATATTGGACGGCACAACCGGCTCTGTCGCGTTAAAAAGTCGACCATGGTCTGGTGGCACGGTTTACTCAATCATTGGACCGGTCGATGGACTGCAATCACCTGACTATTGTGGAGGCAATCCCTGAGAATAAAGGACTGCTTCCCACAAGCGCCCACACCTCAACAGCATCTGTTTCTCCTTGTACTTTCACGACCTCCTCGATGACGACTGCTGAACTTGTTGCTGAAGAAGCGCTTCAAGAGCGGCTACGCCTCTGGCGCACCGAGAAGGGCCCAGATGTAACGACACAATACCAGGACATGCAACTCCAGAATGACGCCCGGCTGGGCCGGTTTGTGCGCGGAATTTTACTCCGCAAGCCAACTGACGGCGAGCAACCGCGCGACTTTCGCGCAAAGCAGCTTCATGAAATCAAGAAAGCCTGCCAGGATGCAGAGCGAGAGGACGACAAGCTGAAGAATGTCTTACATGAAGGTGTCGAGGTTGGGGCAGCGAGAATCAAGGATTTGTATGTTAGCGTGGCCCTGGAACACCCGGATGAGCTTGTGAGTCAACAACCCTCGATGTCATCTGGCGCTAATTGTGTGCTGACCGTCTGTCATTGTTTTTTTAGGACCCAATCAATCATGTTAACGAACAATTGCGCAAACCGATTGGCCCCGTCGCCTACTGCAGCCCCGTCTTGCGAACACTTTTGTTCGCAGAGAACTTCGACAAGGTCCCTGCGTCCAAGATAAGCCAGGCAATAGAGCTCGATCTTCCCGACCGTGTCGATTCATTGCTCGAGTTCCACCATATTGCGTTTCATGCCGACGTTGCGGTGATGGCGCAGCTCTACGATCCGATACTTGCAACAGACAAGCTCAAGCGGAGGGAGCTGTTGAAGCTGCACCAGGCAAAGATGGAGAAGCTTTCCGTCGAATTCTCGGATAACATAACCGCAAGACTGACGCAGCATTGGGAGCAGTGTCAAGCTGATATCGACGACGCTGCCTTTTCGGATACCATCTCCAGCATTGGAGATTACGCGTCGAGAGAACGGAGCGAGGCCACTAGCTCAGCCGCACATAGCTCTTCCTCTGACTGGTCGAGGAATTTGAAGCGCCCGTTCGAGCATGCTTCCTCTACTCTTCCTCCATCGGCCGATTCCACCCCGAAGGGAATTTTAAGGCCCGCAAACCCCAGTGGCGGCAATACTGGAACCGCACAAGAACGCCCCAACAAACGAGCGACGATACTTGATCATAAAGGCGCCAGTGTTGCAGGGCGTGAGGTCGATTCAAGTGATGGCCTTTTCTTCTTGGAACATCGCATCGCCCCCGAAAATCTTTCTGCGACAGTCCAGGCAGCATACGACTTGCAGGTAGACAGAGATCCCAATTTTGGAATTCGTGTCACGGGGTCAGAGGCTGAGGGGACCATACAGGTTCCTTCGACGCCAACATCGACCAGACAGCAAAGAATATACGAATTCTGGACTCCCCCCGCCATCGATCGGGATGCACAGCGAGTCCCTCGTAGTTTTGCGTCAGGAACAGGGTCGACGCCGGTTGGCGCCAACGTGCAGGCGGGCAGAGTTAAAGCCAAAGCCAAAGCGTTGTAACTTGTTTTGTGTTGTCTGTTGGGCATATTGTAGGATGTGGTCTTGGTTGTGTTCCCGGTATTGTATTCCTAACTCAGATTTGAGTCTGAATCCTCCTATGTAGTCCTATCGAGTCCTGGTATTAGTAGCATGTGTCTGTCTGTATTCTATCGTGGTTTGTGGCTATATGTACTACTTTAACATGCGGAAACAGCATGTCTTTCGCGGGGCTTTCATTTAAGGTTGAGAATGGCTACATTGACCTTCTTCTCCCAGCTATGTTTGGAATCAACTTGTTTAAAGACCGACAAAGGGAGCGATAAGGCACGGAAGGTATACGATTCACTTAGGGAGCTAGCTAAGACACATCATTCGACGTAAAAGGGCCCGACAGGCGTTCAGCCCACGGGAAGCAGTTCGTAAAATGCGACGACGATGAGGTGATACCGTGACTCGCCAACTCTTCTTCAAACTCGATCCAGTTGTTGATTCTTCGGTTTCTTTCAACGCTGAATAAACTGGCGTGAACCGCTGTGAGTAAAGTAGCCGAAGACACTCACCCATTTGCTTTTCCCAAAATGCGTCCTCGCTATGGCGCTCCGCAGCCTCCTTCCGTGCGATGGAGGCCTCCACAGCTCTGTGAATCGTCAAAATGATGGGAGACGAGGATATGGACGTAAGCATACTTGTGAATCTGGTAAATTTCCATCCAATAATATATAGGATCATGGAATTTGTCGATGCTGGAGAGGTCGTAATTCAAGCTTGCAACAGGCACCCTCATATCGAAGGCCAGGCCAACAAACTCCCCGTCGAAACGGCCTGAGCACGTCCCCGGCTCATGCGAAAACATCCACGTCTCGAAATCAGCGGTGAAACGTGCGAGCTCGTCGATGGGAAAGCATCCCCGCCAATCTTTGAGTTCCTCCCGATCGTCGTCGTCCTCGTTTGCAAATGATATTAGCCTGCGATGCTCCGCCTCATCAAGCTGGCAAAGGGCTTTTGAATCATTCACTGTGTGTTTATCCGACTCGGAGCGACGGACAACGACACGAGAAAACGTCGACATGAAGCAGTCCTCGAAGGGGAAGGGGGTTGTTGTCTTGAGCGGTTCGCGGTTGGAAGGATGGTCCTCATCGCCGATTTCGCCGGACTGGGGAGCGATTGGGATGATCATGCGGGGCTCTATACATTTCTCGGGATCTTCATATTCTTCACTCATGACAAAAAAGCAGCTTTCTTCCCCGTGGTATTCGTTTGGCTGCAATGGCTCACATGAGTGGGGGGGACGAGTTTCACACTATTATGCACTCACCTCATCGACGTAGACGATGTAGTTTTTGGGAGTGAGCTTAGAACAAGCGGCGGTGACTTCTGGATCGTTGATATGGGCTACGCTGGCAATAGGATCGAAAGTCAGCACGGCGAAGGTGCCAGCCTTGCGCGGAACGTGGTCAGCTTGAGCGGTTTCCGTCATCGGTTTGGAATGCTGGGAGATGAGGTTGATGTCGGAAAGATGAGCCATGAGGGTTTATATAGCCTGAAAGCATTGTTGGCCTGGTCAGGGAGCGCGCCGACAGAGCAACGAGGAACAAAAAGAGAGAACAAGGATGCGGTCGAAAGACAAGGTTGCTATCATGACTAAGCATAGTTCTTGTTCTGTGAACAAGGAGTGAAGTTTGGTTGAGCTTCGCGATACGATAGGATTCGGAGGAACTCAAGGAAGCATGGATGTGAAGTATGTATTACAATTGCATAGGTTACAGGTTGAGACGGAAAAAAGTCCGATTAGTGGTGCTTCACGTGTCGGGTGTGTTCATGCTTCGATATAATCCACCTTTAGCCTCAGTGAGCAGCGGGAAGTTTAAGTCACGATACGACCCACCAGGCATGCAAGACACCGGGTATCCACCCCAATATCGTCAAGCAGACGTTGATCCAGAAGTCTGCAGATTACTGTGAGCTTCCTTGGTGATAAACTTTGCAGCGACGAACCAGCCAGGATTCCCCGCTCTGTTTGGGTTGAGTGAACAACAATTACCCCAAGACATTTCCAAACGCACTGAAGAATACAGATACTGGTGGAAGAATGCTGCGCCAGCCAAGGTCAATTACGACGCGAGGTGAGCGAAAGAACAGCGCACATGGCAAGAAGGTAGAGGAAGACATTCCAGTTGGAAGAAACGTTGTCGGACATATTTGTAGGAGGGAAATAGTGGACGCCGGGATCCAACAGCAAACTATAAGTACCTGGTGGACAATGACGTCATCCATCTCGGAGCTCGGAAGAGATAAGATAATTCGTTGCTGAAGCCTGATTCGGACTGAGGATGTTTCGGCCTTGTGTACAGCTCAGACGAATGCCACTACCTCTCAGACCTTAAACCTCGAAGTTGAATTGAGGCTGGCAGAGAATAATGCAGGCTATTTTGGCGCTTACCAGTAGTCTGAGGTGAAGCGCCGGGAATTTGCGCGCTGGCGCAATAATCTTGAGGAAAGTGCAGCGCGCGGCGTGGACTCGAACCGGGAGCCTCGCGGCGGAGTGGCCGGCCGGCCGGTCAGTACCGAATCGGGTCGATCCTCCGGAGGCCCGATAGATCGACGATTGGCGCTGAAGATGGGAATGGAGAGCACTGCCGCTCTGGCGATGTGGGCGCCATCACGGGAGGCCATCGAGGGCCCGGCGAGGCTATGAGAGATAACCTGTGGGTGGGGTAATGCAATCTGAGATTCAAAATCTCAGATTGACGATGGATCGGGCTAAGGAAAATTAGTATAAATTAGCAGCCTACCTGTACAGTAGGGTAGAATCGAGGTTGGCCCCAGCCGAGTGGGGTACTGTGTCTATTGGCATATTTTCATTGTTGTGAACGTCTATCGCGCTCTTGTTGTGAACCCATCGCTACCCCGCGTTCAACTCTACCAACGGGTAGAACCTTTCGTTGCTTACATAATCGTCTTGCTCGTAGTCGCCTACGTCCCCGCATCCAATCTACACACCTAACCTCAGTGAATACGTTGTCTGAATTGCCACAATCATATATTTTGATTGGAACCCCCGAACCCGCGCGCATACGAAATCGACTACGACGGCGGAGCTACAAAGCACTCTTGGACCAACTGGTTAGAGCGTGTGTCTGTGGTTTAGTGTGCTTGTGTTAGTTTGTGTGTTTGGTTTCGGCTTAGTAGTTCTTTTTCCGTCCTCCCACCGATTTCACGCGTTTCAGAGGCCAATTCAACTTGAACAAGTTGACAACACTGGCTGCTGGCAACATGTCAGTGTGCAGAGTTATTGTGCAATGTGAGACATAAACTCACTGTGCATATAACCTGCTGCACTCATTCAAAAAGTCATTCTCTGTGCAAATACCGCTTGGACGACAAAAATAGTTTCAACAGAGGAGGCAGTGCTGACGCTGTGTGATAAAGTGATAAACAACTGCCATCTTTCCCTTTTACACTCTCGCCATCTGGCCATCTGCCTGCATAAAATGGTCTTCACAGCTGTAAAACGACATGCAGACAATCGCCTTCCTATCTATCCTCGCCCTCAACTCACTCACACTTTCCTCTGGTCGTTCCTTGGTAGTGGCGTCTCATGCAGCTCCTCAGTGCATGATCACTCTGTCACTGTCGTCGCCGAGTAGCAATGTGGACACGGCTGTCTTGCTTCCTTACGACCCAGGTCAGACCTGGGCCATATCCCAACCAGTATTTAGCCAGAAGCACGCGTTTGAGGTCGCAATTCCCCATTCCCCGTTTTGGGTTGTGGTGCGCCTGACTCTTCCACCTCCAGACCGGGCTTTCAACATTTTACAGTGGATGGATACTCTAAAGCCCGACACAGGCTGGATAAAGTCCAAGTACCAGTCTGTGCAGGGTCTAGACTCGGAATGCGCCGATTTATATGGACTCCCGTCCTTCAATTTCTCCACAACATCGCCGGGGTTTGAGATTGGGGTGGCGAATCGCATATGGTAGCATAAGGGGACAACGCAAGGGTGTGTTTTCAGTTTTGTGGTCTCAAGTCAAGCTGACTTTTGGCCTTCAGCCATGTCACATTCCACTTAACAGTGTTTGGCGACCACCATGGAGAGCAGGGAAAGGACCTGCGCACTATCATTGTGCCTGTAACAAACATTAGCGAAGCTGCAGGGAAAGGCGTGGGATTTGACTGGTATCCCTCGATTTCGCCTGGCGCCTCTTTTGTGATCACTCTCGGGGACGACCGCGGACCAGCAAGCGGTGGAAGTTTGTCCGCTGTTGCCAAGTCTCCAGCATACTTGTGTGCCTATCAGATGAGCGGGACATATCCATTCCTCCAGAGAGTGTTGGTTTATATGCTTTTTTTCTTTGGAATCATCGGTCTATTCACGGCCTCCAATTGGATGACTGGTTTGTAACTTGACATTCTATAATTTTAGAGCTCATAATTTCTACTTAGGCCCCTTCCTTGGAGGAGCAATGGCCTACGCTGGGGCTACCGCTGTCCATTCCATGATCATCCTAGCTTCCTCATTGAAACCATCTCAGAAAGGCACGATCGACCTTGATAGTCTCCCCGTCTTCCAAATCCTTTCTGTTTGCCTCTATCTTTGCGCTCCGCTTTTAATGGGTTCCCACCACCTTCGCCGACACACAGGCGAGGTCTCAGCTACTGTTCTACTTGTCTGCGCTTGGGGAATTCTCATCATCGCCGGCTTCTTCTCTGCCATTGCGATACACCCAACGGCGATTCCGCCTTGTGCCCCATTCAACTCGACATTGGCTGATGGCTCGCTTCAAAGTATTCCTCCCGACCTACCTGCATGTGCTGCCATCTGCCCCAACAAGTCCTCGATCCTTCGTTCGCTTGGTGAAGCGCAGATGGCGTCCTCTAACATAACTGTCAGTCATGTCTTTGGTGCACTGAAGGGACTGGGTATTTTCATCGGCACATTCTGCACCGGTTTCGTGATTGCCACCACTGCTATGGCGATAACGCAGCCTGAGTATGGGGATGTGTTCACTTCACTAGGACAAATGATGGCTATACCTGTTCGCCGGAAAGCGAGGACCCATCCAGCCGCGTTGCCATTGCTAGTTGTTGGTCTTACTGCTGTCGGAGCACCAATTGCGTTCATCATACAACTCATCCTCGGCGAGCGGAATCTCAAAAGGGCGAATCTCACAGCGGAAAGCAGGAATGCAATTGGACAGTGGGGTCCCTGGGTGATCGTTGCACTCGCCTCGTCTGCGGCGGTATTCTATGTAGTAATGGGACCGACGAAATACGGGAAGAGACGAGCTCCAGTCGCTACTGCGGACTCGAGGCAAGTCTATTGGCCGACGAATCAACTCTAGCTACATGAGATCTTCTAACATCTACCTTTCTCTAAAACCTCCTTTGGACTACGTTCACCAGACACTACACTCTGGACTACTACCAACGCGTCGCGGAAATCGTCGAATAGGATATGCGGTATTCCTTCCCTGGTGCAATACACAGCCAGGTCGTTCTCGCCATCCTCCTTCTGTTTCACGAAGAGGACATCCGCATGGCGAGCAGCGGACATGTCTGTGCCAAGGTTTTTCAGAATTTCTGAAGCGAGATGAAGGCAAAACCCACCGGAGACACCATCGCCAAAGAAGAACAATAATGGCGGTGATTCGAGCTCTTTGTACGGCAGAATGGCCCTAGACTTGTCGTGTCCATATCCACTAAAGGCCACTATGAATGAAACTCGTTGGCATGAGTTGTGCAAACCTGCTGGGGTGTCTGAACTTGATTGCCCATGTCCCGTCCTCTTTGACCTCGACATCGTTGGCGATGATGTCTATGGTATCCGCAACGTCATCACCCACGATGTTCCTCAACACAGCACGTATAATTGGCGCCATCCCACTAAACAAAATTGGCCCGGCACCCGGCCCGATGAACGTGTCAAATACCTGGAGACGATGACGACGGGAATGTCGTTGCTCCTACACCAGGTGTGGAAGTCCTTGAATCCAGCATCGAGCTTAATGTCTGTTGAGCATGATCATTCGTGAAAACCGGGAAGGGTTGAATGTACTTTTGCGCAGCTCGTCTTGACACGCCTCGAAGGAGTATCCGTTGGCCACGATGCTCTCCAACATTTCGCGGAACCCGTCCCTTTGCAGTCGTTTGATCAAATTTGCAGACAGTGGAAAGCAAGCCACGCACCGAAAGGTCTGTCTGCCAGCAAGCACATCCAAGTTCCCTGCTCGCCGTTTCTCCTTCCCGAAGCCCAAGTTGTCAGTCATATCTAGCAAATAATGGTCGAGCTTGAACGGCAGCCTTGGGTGAAACCTTACAGTCGTTGGAATCTTGTGTTGTAATCGTTCCGTCCCTGCATGCCGCTTTGATTGAGCTCGGAGCTCCAGCGATGCAGGAAGCAGCGGGACGAACCAATCAGAGAGAACGACAAAGCGCTTGTCTTTGTACACCGGCGGATACGGGAGTGTGCTTTCTGGGATCGCGTCGCTGCTGGTCATCGTTTCCGACGTGGTGGCGGGAAGAAAACGATCGATGGCCAAGATGATGACCGGACCGGAGATGCCGGAAACCTCTCTACCCCGGAAACCAACCGGAAACTGACTTCAGAACACAGTTGTAATATCCATTGTCGTCCTTCCTTCACAAATCTATAAAGACCTAATCTACGAGGACCCAATAGTCCTAGAGAAAATCAAGCGGTTTCTTCTTCGTTAACTACTCCCAAAGTGGTTCCTCTGATGCGACTTCCATCGTCGTCGCCGCTCGCAGCCGATAATACGAGTCAATTACGTCACTTCGTCCTTCACCAGGCCCCGGGACAGGACTGTATGTCTTCGGACGTGGACCGGGAGCATACTGGGTGCATATCTCGACAACTTGACGGCTCCCTTCAACCGGCTCGATGTCGCCGGTCTGTTTGAAACCTATGGCTTGGAAAGGAAACAGAGCGACGGTGTACTAAACACACAAAATCAGAATCAGCATTCTGGGCAGCTGGACAGACAGACCACAACACGGTATCCATATGCGGCGAAGTTTGTGCTGGGGTACAAAGTGGGCTTGAGGTGGATTTCGCCCATAAGCTGACCCCGCTCTCCTCCAGGTGGCGTCCAAAGTGATGCTTTGGCGCATGGCTCCATGGTCGTGCGATACTGTTGAGGGTTTTGCTGGGTGGTACACTCAAGGTAAATCATTGGAGCCTCGGGTTTTGACAATAGATCGACAACTTCCTGATCGGTGGACTCGATCGTAAGGGCACATGGGATTGACACAGAACGGGTGTATGAGAGCTGGGATGCGTAAGATGACTGTAACACTCTTTCGGTTTTTTGCTTACAGGCTTGGCGAGAGAGAGCTAGACACGAAGATCAGGTAAATCCGCCGCGAAAGTAAGGGAGTGACGGACCTTAACCAGGATGTTGTCCACTTTGCGGGTGCTAAAGATCTCGCCACTAATAATGAAAGACTTGGTATTCCAACCCTCTGGATCAGCATCTGGTCCTAGCAATGGACTATTCTCTTGATATGCGAGCTAAGAAAAGATATCAGGCAGTTTCCTGTTTAAGTAGAACGACAAACAGCACGAAGTGGTGAAGGCGCTGCAGGCTTGCTCAAGGGGAAGTAGTTGAATATGACAGGAAGTCTGCAAAAATGTGTCAATTCGGATAGAATAGTAAAGCAGACAGGCTTTCACTTTTCATCTCTTCCCAAGTGAAGCGCGGGCCGGACAATGTGCAACTCGACCACATACTGCAAGGTGAAGTACCCAATTCCAGTGCCAAACGACTTGGGAAGCCTGTAGCTTTTGTTGTTGTTTGTGATCTCGGCAGGTAGTTCGATAGAGAACGGCCAGTGGTAGTCGCCTTGGAGGGGTAGACCCGAAGCCGATTCCGTCTTGGATGGCTCATTGGTGTCTCCTTCGGAAGAAGACCAAAGCGCCTTCTTGACCTTCAAAAACACGATGGGAACACCGGTGCTTTCTGCGGGTGTGCCGCCAAGCACCTCACCTCGAACCGTAATATGGATTGCCTGAATCGGCTCGGCCTTTCGTAGAGCTAGTTTAACCGAGCCAGTAACGTTAGTGCCTTGCAAAATCGTTGGTTCGGTCGCGTTTGAAAGTCTTCCGTCCCCCTTGACGGTCAGCATTGCCCACCAGCCATTGCTGTCCTTGATCTGGTACTCGAACGGGCGGGGTTCCGAATTGTGTACAGCAGACTGAGTCGGGAGTTCATCGTAGACTGGGAGGTCTGAGTCCAAGTTATCGAGGTAAGAGGGGGGTTCTGGGTGTGCCATTCTGCCAACGATAGGTGACCGCTGCTGGATTTAAATAGAATTCGAAGAGGCCAACTTGTCTGCGCGTGCTTCCCCGCTAAGCCTGACAGGTAGTTTTGAGCTACTTTTGAACTTGAATGATGGGTAGTCGGAAACTGCGCCGTAGCGAAGCTATTTTGAGGTCAAATGTATACTGTCTATCGGGAGCGAGAGAACGCACCCATTCAAGTTCATCCGAGTCTTCACCTTGAACTCGATGAGCAAGTTCCTGACATACGCCACGACACGAGTGGCTATCTCCCTGATAAGCCTAGAGGTTAGGAACAGTCCGACCAAGTACTTACTGTTCATCAAGTTTAAGGAACAAGTTGCAGTGTTAGTCAGCCGCACGTGTTTGTGTGGCTGCCTCTTTTTCATCGTCCAAGACAACACTTTTTTTTTCCGTACCACTGGGTTTTCATGGAACACTGGCTACACAGTTGGACGAAGTGGTACCTTATTGCCGTGGTCGTCTTTTTTTTCCTGACCGGGATACTAACCGTAACCGCGCTCAAACTGCGCTGAAAGGCAATTGCAGGTCAATGCCAACAATCTACCAATAATTTACCGCGGTTTCTGATCATGATGGTTTGCCTTGTGCGTTGGCACAAGTACGCGAAAACGAGGCTTACTTTGAAAGCTTCGTTGTTATTGTGTGAAGAAAATACCCTGTTGGCCCGTCGGAAATTTATGAAAGACGGAGCGCGCTGCCTCGGACCTTCAACTTATTGAGCCACCGACACTCAGCTGGACAGAAACGAAATCTGGTTCCGTCACTTTCTTTCATCACAACCGGCTGCTGCAACAAAGGTAGATCTCTTTGTCTCGCCAGCAGGTATAAAAACTCTTTGACGTCTGACGCTCGCTTTCCTAGTACAACTCCGAGTTCCAAAGATGCAAAGCTCCAAGAAGGACTCGACCCAAGTCTTGCGAGCTGGGGCCTGGGCTATCATGACACTGAATCCATTCAACTCGCTCGCTCATGAGCATCTCGATGACATTGAAGCACTCAACATGGTATCCACTCTTCGCCCCAAACAATATGTGGTCTACATTGTGAAAGAAGTATGCCAGTGTGCCGAGGTTGACCATGTTGAACTCTCATTAAAATTTTATTCAGCTCCAAAACCCACACCCACAAGGCAGGCCTAGGGATGTTTGGGAGTTTCAGGTTGAACTGCTGATGCAAGGCCTTCCTCCGACGGACCGCGAAGCATGTCTCGACTCCAGCATGTGTATCCCGATATTCCCGGAGACATACCATCCAACAAATTCGCGTTTACCGCTCAGAACATCGTCTCCAGACCCAGACTTCGACTTCCCGTTCCCATTCCGCAACGGCTATCTCGCACCGCTGTTCGCCTCGCTCATAGTCCGTGCTACCGTAACACAAGCAAACGAAGGGCTGTGGATGCTTTCGCCAAGAGAGCAATCGGCGCATGACTTTTGGGCGATTCAGGATTGTATCAAAACCGAGACGTGGGCCGAACATGGTGAGGGTATCTTTGACCAATGGTGGGAGCGAGCGGGGATGGTGTCTCCCTCAGAATTGGGGTGTGGTCAAGCTGCCAGTCAAATCATCGAATTCACTCCTCGCCATGCCTGGATGAATAAGGATTTGCCGCCGACTCCTTCGAGTTTTAGCATGTCAATGAACTCTGCCTCGTCATCAAGTTCCAGATCGTCAACAGCAAGTCCTCTTCTCGATTCCGTCAGCAAAGTCAAAGCAAACTCGAAGTCGCCTCCTCGAAGATGGTACGACTTTAACCTGAGCCCATTCCCCGCCCCCGAAAAATTGAAGGCCCTCCCACCCAGAGGCCTCATCAGCGATCTTGGCCCACACCCGTTAGACGGTCTTACACCAACGGTGACGCTGAATCCCGATCTGTTCAGTATCCTGGCCGATGCGACGGCCGATGAACGAGCTAACTGGAAGCTTGAGACGCCGGAGGAGTTCTACAAGGAGCTTCACAAACTGAAAGTGTTAGTCCATCCATAAACATTGTCTCTCGAGCTTTAAAAGTTGTAGAATCGCTGGTGGAGCCCTTTATCGACGATCCCGCGTCGCACAATTGGCCCATATTCAAAGATTGTTGGCACAAGAACCGCTTGAAGAGCGTGGTGGTGTGTTGCTTTTTGCGTTTGAACTCCAGTATATTGATGCTTTCGAGCGCTGTCAAGTGCGACCAATCGTACACCGGTCTCCAAAGTTATTATGTCTGGACTCAGAAAACGGGTCAATAGTCTCAAGCAGTCAATACGTGCATCAACTTGAAGGAAACGCGCGATTGCAGAATTGAATGTTGCGTGTTGAAGTCTGGTGTCGGAGGTCTCGCCGGTAAACGCTCGAGCGGTAAGAAATGAAAGCGGAGCAAATTCAAAATCATCTGCATACAAATTTACTCCCATTCCAAACACTCTGGCGAGGGTAAAGGCAATGTCTCCTCGTCTGGCCCCGATCTCCCACACCAACGAAGGAACTTGGTGCAACACCGCCTTCGACCCATTCAACAATTGCGGATAAGATGTTGTGCTCTGAGTTATTCCGGCCGGGCGTGAGGCCATGGTGTCCGAATTTTGTTGCACCAGGCCCACCGAAACAGTGACCCATGCCGGGAATGAGAAACAGACGGAAAAAGTCATCAGGATTGCCCATAGTCTGCGAAACCAATTCGTGAAAACGTTTTGAGTTGCCAGAAACAACGATCTGGAATTCATCGTAAGTGGCCAGCGTTGGATAACTTAGAGGAATGTTACCGGGTCCATTCGTCCGTGGTAGGTGATAAATTTGCCGCCGCGATTGCGGAACGCAGAGAGATCACCATTGAAGGTGGAAATGCCGCCAGGATCGATGTGGTCGATGACTCGGAGGTGCGCTTCATCTAATCGTTGTAGATCGAATTCGGTGTCGTTGAATACGGCATATCGGAGCCAATCCTATGCTAATTCAGTACTGGGCTTGACTGAAAAAAGCAAGTTACCGCGGTGTAATACGGGGCCTCCCCAGTCAGCAAGGAGAAGCTTTGGGGATCGCTTTCCGCCCCAGGGTCGAGGCGAGGGCAAACAAGTCGGCCTTGTACCACAAGCGGGGAGTAAAGCTCGCGCAAAACCTCAACTTGGAGCTGTGTTAAGCAATGCGCCGTATTATCCTCCCGACATAACAGAACTTGGGGGTCGAATTTGCAGTCATCAGGCTCGGTGATAATTCCATCCATAACTCCATCCAGTCCATCGCACTGCTTGAGAATTTCTGGTGAGACGAGGTTTTGCCAGGTCTTGAGGGGTATATTTGCAGAGGTCAGACGACGTGCTGTTATGCCGCTCCAGTAAATTAGATGATTGAAGTTAAGCGCAGGGGCCCCCGCAACAATGCCGTCGTAATCTTGTGGATACTTCAAAGCGGCTTGAGTTCCTTGCCGCCCGCCAGTTGAACAGCCGAGATAGTACGACTTGCTGTGCGGCCGCTGATAGTAAGCCTCCACGATATGTTTTCCGACTACAGCTTCTACGTGGACGGCTCGAAATGAAAAGTCGTTTATAACTTCCGGACGATTGAGAAAATGAAGGGTGCCCCCATCATGCCCCCCATTTGATGCAATAGCAGCGAAATGAACGGTGGATGCGTAATTTAGGCCAGCATAGTCCATGCCTTGGATTGGGTTAGATAATTTTGTGCGAGAGAAAATCGTCACATACAGCTAGATAGCCCGGAATTCCCTAACCCTAAAAACCGGCCATGCCACTCGTCAGGCAACCAAAGCTCGGCACGGACCGCGGACGTTTCGCTTGTCTGGGTCACAAACTCCACGCGACAGACAGACACATCCACGATTGTGCTGGAGGCACATAAATCGGCGAGTGGGACAGTTGACCCTCCAGCGACGTATGATATACGATTAATGGTAGTGTTCTCTGGAGGATGAAGGCGAGACTGTAGTGAGAGGCATGCTAATTCTTGATGAGTCGGACCGTGTAGATGGGAGGTAGCGTGGAATAAGTTTGGTAGAAGCTTGACGAGCAGGCCTAGACCTGGAAGAATGTCTGTTGGTACGAAAGATGGAGCCCAATGCCTTCGTTCATCCTCGAGACTGCGAACAAAATGAGGGGGATTTGGTACTACCATGACTGGGCCCAATTTGAGTGGTTCCCTCTATCCAGAAGAGTAAAACTTACATGACCCCTCCATGCGCTACGAAGTCGTAGGAAAAAGAAACGTTGGATCCTGGCTACTCAGGAGGCTTGTCATTCTAGTGTTCATTGTAATGTCGGAGATGAGCAAAAGGAGCTGATATACCATTTTAGGAGCCTCTTGGAGCCTGTAGGCAGCTATATTGATGTTCAAGTCGTGTCGTAGATACTTTTGAAATGCTCGTGCTGGCCATAGATGAGAGGAGAATCTGAGGAGCGTGGAGCATATTGTGTCACGGCGATGTGTAACATCTTCAGCAGCTGTCACAGTAAAGATGGTTGAACATCTCCCAATACCATCGGAAGCTCATTGGAAACGCGTCGGTTCGATCTTGCGCAACGAGTGCCCACCGAACGCCGCAAATCGCACTTTTCTCCACTCGGCTCTTGAGTCCACTCCTTCACAGCTTCAACAATACGATGATGCGATTCTGGCGACGCGACGGACACTTGCTGAGGTGCAGCGGAAAATTGATCGTCTCGTTCAAAGGCGAAGCATGCTCGAGAAATATGCCACTGCCTGTCGTAGCGCCTTTTCTCCCATTCGACGTCTACCACCCGAGGTGTTGCTGCATATTTTTGCTTTCCTTTCGCACCCAAATTTGGAAGACTGGCACTGGGAAGATAACTTGAAGAAGGAATCTCTCCGTGCTGCAGCCAGGGTTTGCTCTCAGTGGGGGATCTCTCATATTCAGCACAAGTTCGTTGTGGAACTATATTGACATCAATTTGCGCGATCTGGAAGGTCAATGGAGAAGAGCAGAACGACATCTCGATGATGCGCTTCATCTTGCTCGTCATTCGACCTTTCTCGACTTCAATATCAGATTCGACTAAGACCGTGGGCATTACTCTCTGCTCACTCTGATCGACGAGGCCCCTCGCTGGCGGTCGGTGTCCATTTCGATTTCTGATCAGGGAGGAAGTTCCGAGTCTTCTCCACTTGTGCAAATCCTCCAGCGAGCTCGCAATCGATTAGGACTCCTAGAGAACCTTTTTATTTTCGTCGACGACAGCCTCGAAAATGTCGATGCGTTTGAAACAGAGCCAAAACTACGGCGTATCGCGTTTTCTGACCTGCCCCCGAAACTTCCATGGGATCAGCTGCAACATATCACTTTTCAACCGCATAAATCTTTGACATCTGGAGGCGATCTCTTAAAACAACTGCAGTTTCTGCAACGTTGTTCTCCCGAGTCCGTGGTTGTGATTCCGAGGCTTGTCCTCACGAATATGCAAGATTGGACGAGCGAAGTTCCAACACCACAGCCGATTCTGTCCAGTGTCCGATCATTAACGCTCGGGCTACGTTGGGAAGCCACGCAAACTTGGTCTGACTCCGACGACTGGGAGCCCAGACAAGTACAACTCGAACCCCCACTCAGAATTCTGTTAGGGAATATTCTGTCTCACCTTGATCTTCCCAACCTCTCATACCTTTGCCTGCATGCAGCAAAACCGGAGCGGTATAGACGAAAACAATTTATCCCGTGGCCCCAAAATGCCTTCCTTCGCTTCATCGCCAGGTCGATGACTATCCGATTATCCTCGCTTTTGCTCTACGGAGTTCGTATCGAACATGAAGACCTACTTGTAGTCCTCGCCCACACGCCCGCCCTCGAGAAACTTTTTTTTTCCAGGACATAACCGGAAACCCAACATTGAGTCCAACAGGAGGGCTGATTTACCCTAATAAGCATGTGCTATTCAAGGACGATCTCTTGCGCGCATTGTGTTGTGCAAAGGACGCCACTATCCTTGTCCCCGGCTTAAAAGACCTTGCTGTAGCTTCGGACCTGGAAGACATAACCGACGATGTCTGCCTGGAGTTCTTGGCCTCACGTGTCCAACAACTACAAAAGCGACAGCCAGACGCTGTCTTCTCTTTGCAGATAACGATCATGTCTCTTGGCGGCTCAGGCTTTCAGATGGGTGAATCATCTGTCGCCCTCAAAGCGAAAGAAAACAAGTTTGGTGCACTTGTGGAGTCACTCATAGTGGGAGGGAAACTAAGACTTTCCTTCTTGAGCATCTCAGAGTTGGAAGCGTGCGTGCATTGCTTTAACTCGTTCAAGTTCTCAAATTTAGTGACTTTGGATTCGTAGAGTGCTGGAAGACCCTTATCTCAAGGCAAACCTTCCGACTGCTCGTACTCGATCTGACAGGACATCGATTTGGGGCAGATCATACGATGATGTTTTGGATGAAGATTCTGAAGGAGGACGAAGAAGACTCGGACTCAGAATAAAGGCGTAGTAGTTGGACCTATGATTAGCGGAGGGAAGATGCATGTGATGGGACCTGGCGGGCACGGTAATGGTGTTTGTGGTCCCAAAGGAGTAATGAAAAAATCGGCCAAAAAAGGAAAGAGGAGGGAAAAGGAAAAGGGAAATTCATTGTTTATAATGTATCTAGCTATAGAATCACACTAATTCCAACTGAAATTGTAATTCCGACTGAAATTGGGTCTAGGCTTATATCAGTTCTTAGCCTCATGAATATTAAATTTATCAAGGAGGGAAAAAAGGGAGAAAACTATAACACACCTTGTACACCACATGCACTACTGTAGCAATTTAATCAATTTTATAGCTTGGGCCACATCGGGAACAGTGTTACCACCTTTGCAATGTGAACCAATATCATGAAAATGATTTAGACTATATACAAAATTGCAGTCACAAGCACCAAACCTTTGAAGACTGAGGAGATGGGCTGAACTAATTTATTGTTTATGTCGACACCCTGTGATTGACAAAAGATCAGCATGAGTGTAACATGTGACTGACAAATTGAATAAAATATGTAGCATAGTGTTATACAAGTATGCATAGGACTTAGTAGTGGTTTCAACTCATCAGTCAAGTGGAAGACCTCCCTGACAAACTGAATAAAATAGTACAGTATTGATCTGTGTCAGAAATCGGCACTTATTAACCAGGCTGCACACCCCCGATTGAGTACCCGATAGACGGATAGCTTCACCACTACCTGAGGGTACAAAGGAGACAAAGGAGAAAATAAAAGTGTGCCTAACAGGCACACGGACCATGCTACTTATACACCACTCCTGCACAGCCCTAACCCAGGCTCCGGCCAGTCCTGCATCACCATGCATCTGCTCTCCCCGCTACTGCTAACACACCCCCTCGCGCGTGAGGTGTGAACCCACCCCGCCCTGCAAGTTCAAGACCACTAACCAATCCAGCCGGTCCACATCCACCGCATGTTGAGAGACCAGACCACCGTGCACCTGTAAGGGCAACCCTGGAGACTCCGACGAAAGCCTAGCAGGGGAGGATCCAAAGCATGAATAGGGCGCCAACTATATACTCGTCCGTAACTGCCGACGTAGAGTGCAGAAGGCCTGAGCGTCGCAGGCTCTGTCCCAAGCTGATCGTTGGGAGGGTCTTGACAGATCGGTGATTGTGCGGGCGAAGGAGGCCGTGGGACGATGGTCGGGGTGGGTCGGAGCGTCCAAGGGGGCGCCCGGTCGGATGTGCCTCGGATGCGCTCGGACGGTCCGAAGGAGGCCGAAGCAGGGGTTCCCCCCTGACAGCACCTGCGCAGCTAACACCATTACTGTGCCTCCAGGTCGCAGCAGTTCACATCCTAACATACTCTGTAGTTCTCAGAGTGGATTCAGTATTTTGGAAACTCTGTATTATCTCAATGTTAAATATTATTTTTCTTAACCATCATTTATTATATTAGTGTATGATTTATCTTATTCAAACACAGACTAGGTGAATTTTGTATGATATATAGCTTGAATTGTAATGAATCTTACTGAGAAAGTATAGTATTCTACATTTATTAGACTTGAATAAGTCATATCAGACATTCATATCATATCTCACAGTGCCATCACACATATTTACTTATATATCACTAAGAAACTGCCTTCTATGGGGTATAGTTGTGTATATTTTACACCTATTATACCTAAAACAAGTCAGATCAGCCATTTACACAAGAGATCACACTGCCATCACATGGATCACACAAGTATCACTTGATTTATAGGCCCATCAATTATTGATTGGGACCAACTCCCGGGGTCACTTCCAAATTGGGCCTGTCTCTTTTGGGACATGCCTAATCGGGCCTATCCCTTTTGGGAGATGCCTAATTAGGCATGTCTCTTTTGGGAGATACCAAATGGGGACAAATGTCACCACAAACACCATTACCGTGCCGTGGAACCTGGCGGAGATGGTTCATCTTTATCAATGGATTGCCCGGCGCCTACTTACTTTATGGCTCAAGCCAGGTATGGTGCATAATGTTCCGCATGTACACTGTACTTGCACGAGTCTACACAGTTGGTGCAGTGCCAAGTTGGTGCAATGTTACTGAAGTGCGAGGCTGACAAACTGGGGCAAATAATTTTTGATGTGGCGCCACGACCGTCTCTCAACAGGTTTTCATGACCTGGAGCGCCATTCTCGGCGGGGTTATCCTCTTCTCGGCGTCTGTCGCGCTCTACATTTGGCACAACGACCGCCGGCTGACTCATCTGTCGGCGCAAGCGGGCTCATTTTCACCCCACCGATGCACTCGTGAAGATGTAGAGGCCACGACAGCGCGTATGCTCGCGTCTCCGATCTCCATTGCGGACCAGATACCTCCAAAGACTGGCCGTAGGTATATCGTCATCGGTGGTGTGAGTATTCACAACTTTACCTGCAGCACGTTCGATTAATGGCATTGACAGGCTGGTTTTCTCGGTGGATGGATTGTTGTCCAATTGCTGGAACGGGGGGAGGACCCCAAAAAGATTCGCATTCTCGACATCCGACCTCCTGTTCGTCCTGACCTGACAACTGGCAAAGCGAAAGACGTCCAATTCATGGAATGCGACATCGCGGACCGAGCCGCTGTAGACGCGGCATTTCACGAGCCATGGCCTGAAAGCGACGCGTCCGAAACGACTGTCTTTCACACTGCCGCCAACATTCGATTTTACGAAAAAAGCAAGGCGCTGTTACCAAATTCCGCCAGGGTCAACGTCAACGGAACACAGCACATTCTCGATGCCGCAAAGGCAATTGGCGCGTCGACGATGGTGTACACCTCATCTGGCTCTGTCTCAGTTAGGAGAACGCGTTTTCTGCTTTGGCCATGGGAGAGGGAACCCAAATTGTTTGTTCAGCCCATCAACGAGGACGAGGGCCTGATACCCAAACGACACGACCAGTTTTTCTCCAATTACGCTGCGACGAAGATACAAGCTGAACGCAGGGTTAGAGCAGCGGACAAGACGCCATCAGGAAGTGGAGTTTTGAGAACAGGTTGCATTCGTCCCGGAAATGGTATATTTGGGCCTGGTGGAGATATGCTATGCGGTGCGTTGTCGGATTTGATAATCCGACCTTACTCCCAACTGACAAAACTATAGGCGCATATCTCGTACGTCAGGTTAATCCAACATGGATGGATACTGTCATCCAGAACTTCGTCTACGTCGAGAATGGGGCACTTTCGCATCTCCTCTACGAGCAGCGCCTAATTGAACTGGCTAATGGTAGTCAAAATCCCGATATTGGTGGCCAAGCATTCGTTATTGCTGATCCTGGCCCTCCACCAACCTACGGCGACGTGTACCTCACCCTGACGACATTGATGGATGGCGAAACTGTCTTCCCATTCGTTTCTCCGACATTAATGATACTCATGTCGGTGAGTATACATTTAGCTTTAGTGTTATCCTCTGAATTCCGCTAGCATATCATAGAGGGCTACTACTTGCTCTGCAAGTCTTCTGCCTTCTTCGCAAAACTATTACCCTCGCTCTCCGGTGATATGGTCAACCTTCAGCCATCCCTCTTCAACCTCGTGAATGTCCATCTGATTTTCGACGACTCTCGTGCACGGCTACCTCCGGAAAAGGGCGGGTTGGGGTACAAAGGCGGATGGACGACATTTGAAGGACTACACAAGACGGTGGATGAGCACAAGCGGGGACCGTTGCGTTCAGAACAGCGGTCAGATGTGGCGGGCATCAGTTTGGGATTTGGGTTGGGCAAAGCGCAGAGGGGGGTAAGCAAAGTAAATGAGACGATTAAAGACAATGTAGGCGTCGATCCCGCGAGAGTGTTAGGCTCGACATGACTTATCTGCACCCATACTGCACAGGATCCTCATCTTATCAACCAATTATTTGATGTCATCGTTCAACATTCCCACGTTCCTCACTCTTCATATAGCTTCATATGCCACTTGTCGCGATCTAGCTGGTGTTTAACGTTCATCACTTGCTCCACACCCGGAAATGCCAAGCGGCCCAAGCCTCACGCAGCAAGAAAGCCATAGTTTCTGCCGTGGTTGAAAAGTGCTGGCATATGCAGCTTTGATCGGCAGTCGTCGCTGACAGATGGAATCCGGCGCTGGAGTTGCGCTGGAGACCTTTGGGGCCCTATGGAGGTATAAAAACTCCAAAACGCTCGCACATATGTGGGCCTTTCCCATTCGTCAAACTCGACTTTTTCATTCGGCCTGTGGTCGTCTGCTTTTTTCTTTCCCTTCGTATTCAAGATTTCAGTGCAGTGCACTCGACGTTTTAACGATGTACAAGCTATTCGCCATCCTGTCCGTTGTGTCGATGATCACTGGGTCTGGCCTCGCTGCTCCTCTTGAGGTAAGATTCCATTGTTCTCTTCTCCGAGTTTATTCAACTCAGTTCATAACAGGCTCGGCGTGGGCGAGGCGGTAATGGCCGCGGCGGCGCAACAGCCCAAGGTGCTGTTGTGCAAGCCAATGTTGGAGCGGGAAACCTGGTTCAGGTATGTGAAAGCTCACGAATTTGGTTTTTTCATTTGTTGAACTTTGGCTAAATATGATTGTTAGTGCACCAGCTTTGACCAATCTGCTGCAGCGTTCAGCAACGGCGAGGGACCTGACGTCAAATTACCCCCGGTTCGTGCCAGCCACACATTCAAGAAGTGCATCCTCACATTCGTTCATAGTGCTCTACGATTACCGCCCCGAAAGTACCTTTCTCGGTGATCAGTATTAGATTCATGGCTGGCAATATACTAATATCCGTCAAGTGCACGAATATACAAGCTGTCGCTAACGCGTTTGGCACCGCCCTTGTGAGTGCTATGCTTTATTCACTACAGACCGTTGATGTCTTTCGACTACTGGCAGTGCAACACCATCGGTAATGCTGCTGTCGCAAGTCCCCCTAAGGCTGCTGCGCCGCCTCCCCTCCCGGTTTGGATAGCTTTCCCAAATCGGCGTTCATCGGACTAAACAGGCTCTAGGCTGCAGGCAAAGCACAAGCAGGAGCTCTTGTTCAGGTAAAGATGCGAACTCGGCTAAGTGTTAGTGCCTGACTCCAATCTCAGTGCACGACTTTCGACCAATCTGCTGCAGCCTTCAGCAACCCTGACGGCCCCGATCTCAAACTGCCTCAGGTAAGTTTCCTGCGGGCTTACAACTATTCGTTTTTCAATGTGTTCTGGGCAGTGTTCAAGCATTACCGCTCCTAAAGTCCCCTTCCCTGTGCGTGGCTATGGCTCGTCGTTGACACAGTCTCACTGGATCATAGTGCACGAATATCCAAGCCGTCGCAAACGCATTCGGAACCAAGCTGGTGTGTATTCCAAAGCCTCCATGCTGCTGCATAATCTCATTGTTTTTTCGTAGTGCAGCACCATCGGCCAGTAGATTGGCGAGCTCGGACCTTGGGTTGGCGAAAGAGTTATACCGTCGAATTGGGTCTCTGTCTCTGTACCTTGAATCCATGCGGAAGTTCATCCGAAACGATCTGGAGTATAATTATAATCTCCCTGTGACCGGTTCGTTATAATATTAGCCAGACCTGAGCTTGTTCTTGGCTCAGGCCGCCGGTGGGTCAGCCGTGCTGCGATCGTCAGAATCATGTAAATCAGGGCCAACCACAGATCACACAGATCAGATTAGCTTGATACCATCATCTCCGGCCCATCAGCCGTCGGCCAAGCAACCCCAAGCCTTCGCACTCTATTAATACCACCACCCTCCAAAAACTTCCCTGAAAAATCCGTCATTTTGCGCCAAAATTGCGCCTCAGAGCTCTGCAGACGGATGAGGCGACATGACACGCTTTTTGACCCATTCTTTGACTCTCATCCGAAGATGCGTTTTTCGCACCTGTTGTCAACTTGAGGCTGGTCATGTCTTCCTCAATCACCTTCCCGCTTCGCACCGAATGTCTGCAGGAACTCGCAATACGGGTCTCGTGGCTACTTTACCGCGTGCGCGTGGTTCGCAACTGCAGTCTAAACGCGGGGAATCACTGAATATGTCGGCAGTTTTCGACAGCTCCGGTTCTTTCACGATCAAGTTGATTCATCCAATGTCTTCCATTCCAATTCTCTTCATCTGCGCTGACCAGACCCTCTGATCACGGTGGGCAACGGGTCCCGCATCCTGAGACTTTACCCGGCTAGCTTCGCGTTTCAACCGGCCACATGGGCGAGCTGGGGTCTTCCGTGGGGGTGGGGTAAATGGTATAAAGGGAGGCTGACGAGTGAGAACAAACCCATCCATTTCTTCTTCGACATGGTCTTCATCCGCTCTCTCCTCGTCCTCGGCTCGCTCTTTGCTGCTGGCTTGGCCAACCCCGCCAAACGCACCCCTGCGCAAGTCGAGGCGGACCTGAACAATGTGGCTACCCAGGTCACCAACCTTGACAACCTCATCAAGGCATTCCCTGCCAGCGGCCTTGCTGGTGCTCTGGTCAGTCCTTTGAGACCCTTTGCATCGTTGGCAGTAGCATCTGACAACGTTGAAGGCCATCCACAATGCGGCTACCCCATTGGTGACAGCACTCAACACTGCGACCAGCGACTCCACCGTATGACAAACTATATTTTGTCAAGCCCAACCCACCCTAACACTTTCGCATAGAGCACCGGCCCCCTCGGTGAAAGTGACGGCGCGGCTGTCCTCGCGATCGTCACTGGCTTCCAGCCTACCATTCTCGATGCCCTTACCCGCATCGTTGCTGACAAGAGCGCTTTTGTACGTGCTTGACCGTGTCTCGAACTTGAAGTAGAAAGACCAACTCTTCCTCATAGGCTTCCCAACCAATCTCTGGTCTCCCAGCCCTTGTTCACCAAGATTTGGTCAACCTCCAAACTGCTACCACCGCCCTTGCCAACTCCCTTCTCGCCAACGCCCCCGTACGCCCAAATCTCTTCTCGAACAACGGGCACTGATTGTTCTCTCTCACAGGCTGACTTGAAGCCCTCCGCTTCGGCTGTTGAAGGCGCCATTCTCACTGCTCTTAGCACCGCAGTTGCCGCCTACGCAACCTAGGGTCTTGAATGTCGTTATTGGGAGTGGACGCGTGCAATGAGTACGAAATATGCATCGAACGTTCTTCAGAGTAGTATTGGTTGCCAACACGACCTCCACGCAATGTCTTCACGAAATGTTTATTTGCGCCAACAACATCGGAAAGTCCCGTCTGAATCGCGGGATGATAGATTGAGTTGGTTGGTGGGCGTACGCCGTAAGAATCAACGACCAACAACCGACGTCCCACTCCCATTGAGTTTTCTGAATTACCCCAATTACTGCCCACGCTAAAACTATCAGTTACGGAAGATGGGGACTCAATGAGGGCCGGAATAAGGAGCTTCAACGACTTTCAGCTTGTCAATCTTGTGCACTTATCGAAACTTGAAAGACGGTCCTTGTCTCATCTCAAGAAAGATAACTCGGCAATCAATGTTTGATGGGTCGAGGCCTTTGCCACTACTGCAGCCTCATTGTGTCGATGTCGATGAGTGTGCTATGATTGTCAATAGGGAGTGTAGGCCTCCCAGCGAAACATTGGACCCTGTTGGTAGAAAGGACATATGAATTTGTTGCATGCCCAGATCAGATCGCTGTGCTCAGCCATCAAACCCGAGAAATCACAAATCCGGGTTCACAGTTGTTATAAGAGCAACGGCCAACAGCGGGAAACTCCGTTCCTACCGCCACCGGCTTTCTGCGAGCGTCGAGGGGCGGCCATGGCGGCCTCCTCGCCTGGCCACTATAGCGGACTACCCATCATGGACACGAACACACTCACACCTGAGATCATCCAGTTGGCAGAGGATCTGTCTGTGCTACTTCTCATGAGTAAAAGCCCGCACTGACCCGTGCTACTTCCAGCCTCGCTCTCAAGGTCTGTCCCACAAGTTGTCAACGGACCAAAGCTTATTCGTGATAATCCCAGCTCTACTTCGCCGGCTGCTTCGCCCTGCTATTTTTCGACTACTTCCTGACGCTGGCCGATGAGGTGGAGCTGATATGGAAGGCAAACAAGACGAGCATGTTCTATTTGTTCGTTATGGTGTGTGGCTTGCCCTGAGCAGAGCTTATCTCAGGCTCACGATTGCGGATGCAGAACCGGTACTGCCCACTGGCCTTCGCCATCATTACCCTCTTCGGTGAGCTATCGTCTGGAGCGTCAACAAACATAGCTAAGACCCCAAATCAGCCTACGTTTCCCCACTATGGACCCATGAAGTGTGTCATCTCTCACTACGCCAACAAACTCACTCACAGCCTAATAGATGTAGACTTTTCCAGTCTAAGTACTGTTGCTTGATACTTATCCCTTGCGCCAGCTGCAACCGATTCGCTATTGTAGAGTGGCTTCAAACCCTTCTCATCGTCGTCCCGGCAGAAATTGTACTTCTATTTCGGTGGGGTTTTCCAATGATAAAAGCTTCGATATTTACGCCCAACTCTACAGCGTCTTCGCACTGATGAACAGAAACAGATATATCTGTACTTTTCTGTGGGCCCTCATCCTCGCGGAATGCATCATCGTCTTTTACGCCATGTCGCTCCCCGGCACGAATAACGGTACTTGGTCTCGGATTTCACCGCCTTGTCCAAGCTTATCATGCCGCCAGCCCTTCCATTACCACATTTCGACCTCGACTCTTTCCAAAGTATGTGTTCTACGACTGGGCAGCATGTCCTGACCACCCACCGCTCAGTCTGCATTCTCTACTCTGATCCACACATGTAAGCTTAGTATTGACGCGTGTAAATTGTTGCTTGACAACAACTTCCTTCAGGGATACCGCATACCTCGCCGTGACCATCGCATTCGACAGTATCGTGTTCGGGTTAACCATCTTCGCGACATTCAACCGGGTCCGCTCGCAAGTAAACCGCGCCAATGCCAACGCCAACGCAGCAGGTCGCCGAGCGCGCTCTGCCCTCCACTCCATTCTCCGACTGGACGACAGGCCAGGCCACACCTCGATTCTTGGCACCATGCGATGGGACGGGACGCTCTATTTCTGTGTCATCCTGTCGGGCAACATAGTCTGGATGGGACTCGCACTCTATGCACGACCAGGTTTGAAGTTTATGAATGCCCAGCCGAGCATGTAGTACGTGCTCTTCCTTATCATTCTCCTATCTCCTCTAACAACCAAGCAGCATGACTTCTGTCATGATCAACCGGCTCACACTTTCAGTCCGCAAAGTTGCCGTCGAGGCAAACTCAGTGCGGACTTCAATTGAATGGCCCAGCGCCATATTCTCGCGCGCACCGCCGGCGACGCCACGGACAGAGTTTGGCAGTCCCAGACCAACTACGCTCGCATTCGCCCAGACCGCTACCAACCGCGATAGTGTCCTCCCATAACATCGTTGGATGGGCGGAAGAGCTGTGCTGTCTCCCCCTAGCCAACGCGTCCACCTTCTCGGAGGCAGAATAAAAACTGACTGCCTAGACTTGCTTGTTATTGACTGCTTTACATTTCCTCGCGTACAAGCTATATAACGTTAACAACAAGTCCAATTTACCATACCTAGCTAGCTGCTTATGTACCTGTACAAATTTGGTTTCGGAAATGTCTGTTGTAATTACTGTTGCGCAATGCTCATCAAGCTTCCGACGAATGTGAGGATCTACCAAAGTCCAGTGAGAAAGTTCACATATAGAGCAGAGATAACGAACCAGCCGTGGTCGAACGTCCACAATGTCTTCAGGAACCAAGAAAATGAGTGCGTTCATCTTCCGGGCAATTGAAATCGCCAACTTGGCGTTCTGTCTCCTGTCCTCGTAATCACCATTGGCACTAACGTCGAGTATAAGTGCGGGGTCGACGATTCCGGGTCGTATAGCTTCCAACAGGTCCAGGAAGAACAAGCCAGTCGTGATGGAAGGGTCCTTGAATGAGCGAATGGGACGTGACGAGTTGGCCTTGGTGTTGGCCCACTTGAGCATCTCCGTATCCGAAATTGGGCGATTTGATTTCGACAGTTGGGTAAGGGTCTTGACGATGTTCATTCGCATTAGTTGCCATACAAGACCCAGCACAAGTGTCTTTGTCCCATCCGTGATATCGGCGCCTTGGATTCCCACCATGTGCATCCCATTCTGCTTGGCCAGGTCAACACAATAGTTAGTATTTTCAACAGCCTTGAAGCGCGAGAGCTGGCTCTGGTTTGGTGTGACACCAATGTCAGCGCCTTCGTCGTCATCTCCGCCTGCTCCACCGCTTGCATACGAGACGGGTTCCGCGGAAACGCCGCCCTTGGGCTTGGAGACGCGCCGCCATACAACACTGCCTGGTAAAATCTTGTCGAATGCTTGCAGTATGATAAGACCGTCTTTGAGGTTCTCGAATAAGTTGAAGACACCTGGCTCAACACCAAGCGAATTGAGCCATAGGGTAAACACACGTGCTTCTCTTTCACCCTCTGCATCGAAATCTTCGATCGCACCATAGTCTTTTGCCTCCTGCTCATCGAGGGGCTCCAAACCAGGATGTGTGTTGAAAAGATTAGCAACGAATGCGAGATTCAGACGTGGGTTCCCGGCAACAAGAGATGAGACCGTGAGGAAACGACGACATCCAATGGCAGCTGCGTTCTGAAGGACTTGTTCTGCCCTCTGTCGAAGGTCGCGGGTCTGCAATGGAGCGCGAGAGCATTGGTCAGGTTTGAGCTGATTGAGAAGAACGGTGTAATTTTCGCCGTCCATAACGTCGCGGCTGAAGTTATTGACCCGACGATTCCATCCGGCCGCTTTTAGGTGATAGTTGAACCACCGTAAAAGGATTTGGTCGGCAGTAAGACGGAGTAGGTCATCGATCGTCTCGCCGGGTTCGCAAAGACGATAAAGTTCTGGGTGTAGCTTGATATCAACTTGTGCAAGAAGTCCGCGTCTAATAATTTGCCATATAAGGCCCAGAATAAGATGCTCACGGCCCTCGGCAAGGTCCGTCGAGCCGATATTAACGACAGAGCAGCCGATACCCTTGGCTGAAGTGATGACGATGTTGTTGTTTTCGGTGATTTGGAAAGCATTCAGTGGGCGTTTCGATGTGGGCTTGTTGAGGACACGGGTGTCAATGGTATCTGGGACTGAGTCGTTGATGAGTTTACACAAGATGAGGCCGTCCTTGCACTCCTCGAATATCTGCATTGTTGAAGTTGGAATGGGAAACCGCGAACTGACATCGGCGTCGTTCTCGATGACCTGCTCTTGATTAGATGACGGCCGAAAAAGTGGTAGCGGGACACACGCTATTGATGTGGTTGGTGAATTCCGTTCTCTCGTCCTCGTTGATGGTGTGGCTCACGTTCGCATTCGAGCCTTGTACTGTCACCTTGCCTGCCTTGGTAACGAGTGCTGCCCGCTCGGAACGCATCTTGACATTGAGCTATAAGACCGTTTAGTCTCGATCGCTCTGAGATCAATCCACCTCAAACGCACCTCGACCCAATCCTCCAACTCAACCTTCCCACTTGCATCAACACTGACTTTCTTGAGTGTTTCTCGCGCAAGATCATACGACTCTCCACTGGCTTGTAGTGTCTGTAGGACTACAGCCTTATCGACACGTCCGGGAGAATCAGTGTGAATCGCGCTTGTGAACGGGTTCAATACAGCGAGTTAATCGCTCATCGCGGTACTCACTTGAAGCGATTTATTAAGTCGAACATCTCCTCGCGAGAGACATCAGGATATTTCTTTTGCAGGCGAAAGGCCTCCATAGTTGGTGGTGGTTGGTGGAAGAGCGAGAATGATGGCGGTGCTTATGAGAGACTCATCTTCGTCATTCTTGGTCACCATCTTCAACACTCACAGGAGCGCAGCCCGCAGCGGCACTGCAGCTCTTCCACAGCTCGCAGTACGCAGTATTAACCGATCAATCTTAGCATGACGGGCCAAATATGACCACACAAGGACACACAACTCAGAACTGGAACTGATGTTACTCTTGACACAGTCAAGATATCTTCAAGTTCATTTCAACGATGCACTATCTCACTGCCTACATCTACTCAAGAGAACAAGTCCTCATGGCTTGAAATAAAGGGGACGGGACGTGATGTCTGCACAAAGACTCAAAGGGAACACGTTGCATTCATGTCTGAAAGAGACTTGCCTACTTGAACTCAAACGGTTGTTCATTGCTTCAAAGGATGCCCGTCCTTACCCGCCAGGCCAGACGAGCGCAAGGTCTTCCACCCCCAGAATTACCCGCTCCGGAGCCAAAACGCAAAGCTCCGCGGAAACGACTACCATCCAAGACGTTGAAGCCACAGGAGCCTTTACCACGCTCTAAATTACTTCCGGCTATAACCTCTCGTCGACCTGCTCCACTGGCCACGCCAGTACGCTCCTTATCACCTCTCACGTCTTTGGCTCCCTCCTCAACTACTGAATCATCGACATTCGGTTCTCGCGCTTCTTCCCTCTCGAGTGAGGCAACCATATATGATACGTCGACAAACGCTGTCCCGGCTCATCCAACCCTGCAACGTATGGTCCAAAAGCCTTGGCTTCTGCAACCAGGTTGGGATTTCCAACTTGATATGGAGGGTCAGAGCTTGCATCTCTACCAAACACAACCAGAAGACGATAATCGATGGCTCGGCTTTGGGTCAAGTCAGGATGGGGTCCAAGACACCCGTACATCGTCACCAGCACCACGAGCGGTGAGAGATCCGATGGGAAAGGGGAAGGGCAAAGCCCATTAGCACTAAATCGAAGTTCGATTCCAATATATAATCCGATCGCAACGCTCACTTTCGCTTGAGCTGTTTAGACTGACTTATCGCGTTGCAACAAATAAACGGTGAGAGAGCTTCTGTGCACCACAAATGACGATAAGATTCAATGATCTTCACCACGGAAGTAAAAAGGTGTTTGCCGAGTCTGTTGGTTGTTGGGGAAAAACAGGCACCACAGCCGCATCCAGCAACACCTGCCCAATGACGAGTCCGACGACGCCGTGACATTTTTCTCATAAACTTGGATTCCGCCTTGGAAACGTGAGTGCCACGTGGGCTGTTCCGTTGCAAGTCTCTTTTATCCCGGCCCCGATGCCTCTCCTTGCCCGACGACCCCGCTGTTAATCTTTCATTGTCGGTCGCTATGTGCGTTAATGAGCTGGTTACGTAATTGATCTACTGACGATCCAAATCCCCTAGTCCGCAAATCTCAGAGGAAACGAAGCAATGGAGAAAGATACCTCTCCAGAACTCTCCTCGCACCGTTCTTGAACCTTTTTTACACCACCCACAAATAGACCCGACTCTCGCCGGTCACCGGAGAATAAATCGGCTAGCCGGAGCCGTGGGCCGGTGGACGGATGGTTACGGCTTCTCTGATGCTAAACCATGACGGTTCTGTTCCTTAATCGCGCTCCTCGCGACGCGCCTAAGAATTGTACTCACGCGTTTCTGACCAGGTTAAAGACCCGAGTGTCTTTCCGATGCACCGTCATTCCTTTCCGGTTTTCCCTTCGTTCTTTCCTCTCGTCGCATCCCTCCCATGGTGTTCCGCCTCCCAACCCATCTTGACAACTTCATACCGCCTCCCGCTGCTCAAGCTCACAGCCACATGTCTAGCAGACCGTGGAGAGGGACTCTTACTGTGCGCGGTATGAGGTTGTCAGATCCGGCGAGCAACCAGGAGATTCGCGTCACCGCTGTTGAGACTGACGGTGATAGGTGTGTTATTGTGTTGCTTGCTTAATTTATCATTTTTTCTCAATGAACTATCCAGCGATGTAGCTAGATGGCCGACCCACTTCTTTGCGCATATTGCTCACGGACGACCTATCCAACGTCAAGTCCGTGAATGGATTCAACAGCATGCGCCGCCCATCTCTACATTCATGCCTGACCGTCATCCTGACCCTGACTCGAATGTTGTCAACGTTGCGACTTTTCGTTCGCTCTCGCGAATGTTGTTCGAGCAACAACTTGTCGCGATTGCCCCCTGGGGGACAGATTCTTCTTTCACTGGCGGTGGACTCGTTATTGTTCCTGCTGAACACTCTAGCGCGCTTTTAGTCGCAGCTCTCTTCTTTTCACAACTACCGGAAATCATAACTGGTCCTAGCTCTAGCTCCGCTCCTTTTCCACAGACCTTGACGCCCCTCGTCACGACTCGCCCACACGGGCAACACAATCCCTTGGCTTACAACTTATACAACCAGCCTGGCCCTAGCTCCGCCGGCACGACTGTCTCTTATTCTCACTACCCTTCCCCGACTGCCTATCGTTCTAGTCCGCTCCGTGATGATGGCTCCCGAAGCCCACCGGATCGCGCAGAACAAATGATCAGCGCCACTGGACGCTACCGACCCCTGCTGCCGCCTGGAGCAGGTTACACTAGTACTGTGACTCCCAGCCCCCCGCATACTGGCTATACTTCTAGCCCTCCCCAGCAGCATCAGATGCAGCATCATCAGGCTGATCCCAGCCAATACGCACCGTACGGCGCTTACCCACCCCACAACGGCTAACACCAATGTCGAGGCTCGCCAAAAGACACCTAATCGCCAACTTGCAAATACCCTCACAACCATACCCTAGACCAACTCCACGCTCTAGTCTGCATTTTCGCTCGAACTCTGCTGTTCGATGCAACCCACTGTTTCCATTTTTCCGTTGTATCGGTACTAGCCCTCATCATCCTTTGTAGCACCACCTCGCCTCGGCCTCGCTTTCGTTCTCGCCTTCTTCGGAGACAGAAGTTGTGTGTCAACCAAAATAACCTTGTATTTGTAGTCATCTCTCGAACCTTGCTATAGCCCTTTGGATACGTACCCCAGATGTATTACTAGCATTCTCTATCTCATTCCTCTTCTCGATATGGAATCTTATCGGTGGAAGGCAGCGGCCCGGCTTCGGTGATGGCCGCGGAGTTTAAATTCGACGGCTCCCACGCAATATTGGAGAAGAACCGCCAATTGAATGAACGACCCCGGAGGAGAGTTCAAACTCTGCTTCTCGGAGGCAGTATGTAGCCATGCATCGACAAGAAGCCACCCCTCACAATTAAAAAAATCAATCTGTCTGTCGAGCAACTCCATCGCCGCGCACACGCCGGAAGCACTTATAAGAACAAGCGCAATTCAGATTTCCAACTTGTTGTTGACGCCCATATGCAGAGACTTCATCCTTGGAATGGAACCTCTCGGTCCCTACCAATCACCTTATTCACTTATATCCGACACCGCCGCCGCAAGCCTTCTCTCAAGTTCTTTCCGTTAAATTGGTCCCATCCCAATGCAAATCGACTTTCGAGATTCGGTGATTACAACGAGAAAGTAGTACACTTGCAAACTTGAGACTTCTCTGTTGGCCTTATCGCGTCGCGGGTGTTGATGCCTTGCCTGCATCGTTGCACTAAACGACTATGAGTATTGAAGACCGCCGGAGAAGGAGAAACTTCACAGAAGGTAGGCCCAACAGATCCGCCAATTCGCTGGTCGTGCACTAAATACGTACGTATGAGATGTGTTTCATTGGACCCGCAAATGTCGTCTCACACTAAAAGGTATCTGAGGCGCAACAACGGTCTTGCACTGCAACAGCTCGTTAAAAACCATTCGTCGAGAGCACGACGATGCGTACCTGCGGTAGCCCAATATCGGGCAGAATCTTGTTGTCCAGTCCGTCTGTCGAGTCAGTGCACTACAAGTCGTTAGGGCAAAGTCGCCACCACAAAAGTGTGGAATGCAAACAGGAATCGGGGTTGCAACACCGGGAGCGTCCAGAGCCGCGGCAGCCGCGATAGTGTTGCACTGAACGAACGTCAACAGATAAGGTTTTCGTATAAACCGTAGTCAGGAACCACTGACGAGAGTCGTGCCAAATGCGTTGGCGACAGCTTGAATGTTGGTGCACTGAACAACACGATGAGTCCATGTCAGCCATGATGTCAGCCCAGTATCGCACATTGAAAGGCACTTTCGGAGCCTTTATACTCGAGCACTGATAAATCATTAGCTTAGTAACAGAGCTTGCAGTTGAGGATGTCTAACCTGAGAGATCCCGAGATCAGGACCATCTGGGCTACTAAATGCTGCAGCAGATTGATCAAAGCTGGTACACTGGAGAAAGTTATTGGTATCCGTTTTCGAAGGATACTCGAAGTTGGACACATGCCTGAACGAGATTTCCGATTGTGATGCTGGGAGGCGAAGTGTTGTCCCGAATTGGACGATTGTCTTGACTGGCGCTTTGAGTTGTAGATTTGGTCGGAGCAGCGCCGCCCTTGGTAACCGGAGCTGTGTTCTGCGTCGCTCCTTTAGCCCCCGCTGTGGCTCCTGCAGCAGCCTGACTTGGAGATTAATATGATAAGGATATTATATGAAGAAAATACTTCTGCTGGAGGTGCTGGGGCAGCCTCAGGGGGAGTTGCGACAGTCTGAGCGCCACTGGCATTGCCGATGGTGTTGCACTAGATAGGATGATGAACTAGTCGATCAAGCGTCAAGCTTACAATCACTCACGAGAGCGGTTCCAAACGCGTTTGCAACAGCTTGAATATTCGTGCACTAGAACGCAATCAGTATGTTGTTAATTAGTATAACCAGCATACTCACAGAGAATGGTACTTTCGGGGCGATGATTGTAGAGCACTATGACCCATAAGAGTTTACTTCCGGTGTGAAGAGTGAATGAGATGGGGGAACGAACAGGGGGTAATTTGACGTCAGGACCATCCCCGTTGCTGAACGCTGCAGCAGACTGATCAAAGCTGGTGCACTAAGAACGGTCAGCAATCGAAACAAGCTGGTTCATAAGATGGGCAGACCTGGACCAAATTTCCGGTCGCGGAATTTGCTTGAGCAGCTCCCTTGCCTCTGCCTTTACCGCCTCGACCACGCCGAGCCTTCCCGGGTTTGAGTCAAGTTAAAGTGTGTAGATAAACCTCGCTCACCTCGAGAGGAGCAGCAAGGCTCGATTCCGCAAGAATTGTCACGATGGAGAGAAGAACAAAGATTTTGTACATCGTTCAAACGTCGAGTGCACTGCACTACTGGTAGGAGATGGTAAAAAGCAAACGACCACAGGCCGATTGGGAAAAGTTGGAGGCGAAGGATGGGAAGGGTCCAAAGCTCTTCTAGACGCGGAAATGCTTTTATAGTGCTGTGGGTCCGACTCTTGAACGACTTCCGATCCAGCAACCATTGGGCTCAACACGCGCGGCTGTTTCTGACGGTTGTTTCTGCTTGATAGGCTGCATTTCATATGACTTCGCGGCGTTCGTGGGTGATACTTGTTGAGAAAGTGACTGTTTCTATTGTAAAGCGGAGAAGAGAGAGAAAAACTCGAAGTCACATGCGGCGATGATTATAGCTTATGTAAACGGACCTCGTCGGCAGGCAGCACCGGTTGAGAGCTTACGTGGCAGAGCGCGTAACGATTACGGGCGCTCAGGTCCATTTCTCGGACTCTGTTTGTCTATGGTAGAGCTGGTGGTGAAGATTACTTAGTGCGACATCACCGTCAAGGCTAAGTGAACACTGAAGTCTTCTCCATAGTAACACAGAGCTCGACTCAGACGGCGCGCAGGAATAAGATAAGAGGACATATACCGCACGGAAGGAGACGGAAAGCTTCAGTGGAATTGCTGTGCAAGCTTGGTGCACGCCGGAACGACCCATGATAAGATAATTTCGGTGATGCCCCTCGGTAGATCAAAGTTAGAACCACGCGGCGATCTGTTCTTTTTCCACCCACCCTCACGGTGATACCATGTCTGCGAAGAAAAACGACGACCGAAAGTCAAGTATAGCACGTCTCTCCCACCCCTGCGCTCGCAGCTCTGACAAACCACCCGTTTTTCGCCAGTCGTCATTCTCGGCGGTGGCGCGGCAGGAATCAACACCGCCCGCCCACTCTCCGCCAAACTCGATGCGTCAAAATACGCGCTGACGCTCATTGACCCACGGCCATTCCGTGTGCTGCTGCCAGCCACGCTCAGGATGGTGGTCTCCGACAAGTACAACCTGGCGTCAACAGAGTCTGCCCTGGTGCCATACGACAAGCTGTTTCATGGCGGCAAAGGCACCTTCATCCAGGACTCTGTCCAGAGCATCACACAGCAAATTGGAGAGAGTTCCGGCTTCTTAACTCTTGCGAGTGGACAGACGGTGCCGTATGATATACTCGTGTTGGCGACCGGGCTGGCGTGGTCATACCCCATCGCATTTCCCGACTCTCTCGGAGACGTGCAGGAGTACGTGAAGAGCCGCCAGGACGAGTTCGCCGGCGCCGAAAATTACCTTCTCGTTGGTGGAGGCGCGATTGGTTGCGGTGTGTTTCATCCTCTCCCCAATTTCGTCACTTAACTTGGACATTTCTAATCTAGAACTCGCGGGTGAGCTTAAAGACATCTGGCCAGCTAAAGACGTGACGATCGTCCATGGCCAGCGCCTCTTGCTTAACGACTCTTACAGCGAGCGTTACCGCAGGCGTGTCGCGAACGACCTCGCCAAACGGGGCGTCAACCTGCAACTCAACGAACTTGTCCCCATCGACAACATTACCGCCGACTCTGTCACAACCCAAAACGGACTCAAAATTGCGGCCGGCCTTGTGGTAAAGACCACGGGTGCCTCAGGGCCGAATACCGCATACATTCAATCTCTCGGGAGCGGGGTTCTAACTCCCGCTGGCTTTGTCAAGGTCCAGCCCACGCTGCAGCTGCTCGACTTCCCGAATGTCTTTGCGGCAGGCGATATCGTTGAATGGCCGGAACAGAAGCAGGCGATTAAAGCACAAGACCATGCCGCACTCGTCGCGAAGAACGTGCTCTTGTTTGTTAACAGCAAACAACTAAAGAACTACAAGACCGCGTTTGAAGCCATCGTCCTCACCAACGGCAGGGTCTGTCCTCCTTGCATTATCCAGCCTCTCTCTGACAATTTTTCAGGCCAGCGGCTCTTCTTATTTCGGAGTTCTTTGGGGCATTATAATCGGTGGCTGGCTGACAGCCTTGATTAAGTCCAAAAACCTCCTGATACCCAGGTTCCGCAGTGATTCGGGTTTAGCTTAGTCTCCGGTGTTCAATGGTGTGTGGGTGTGTGTGTGTAATCAGGACGTAGTTATGTTTCCAGTACAGCATAGATTTATTCGTTAAGATATTACAGTTTCTTTGGAAGGCACTATCATGGTCAGAGGCCACGACGCCCTGCAGCACCGAACCCGTCAAAGAGGTGAGGCGAAACAACAATCGTGTTGGCCTGAAAACATGTCAGTCAAAATCTGCAGGGCACCACAGAGGCGTGCGTACATCAGGGGCAACAGCGTTCTCCGAAATGATGACCTGCTTGCCCTCAACTTCGCTGCACTAACAAGCGAAATTAGCTCCATGTTTCCGACAGCTTGGAGGCAGCCAAGACTTACCGGCTGGAGAAGCTCAACTGGATTGGGGTTGTTCGTGCACTAGACTCGCATATCAAATGCATGAAAAGGATGTGCTGCGCAACGGGCCGCACCTGGATTCCAATTCCTCCTGCAGGAGCATTGCGGCATTTGACGAGATTGGCATCGGGGTCGCCGGCTTTCACGAAAGCAAGCGGGCTGCACTAATGGGGCGTCAAAAAGAGAATGCGAGATTTCACAAACTACCCACTGGAATGGCGGGGAAAGGACCGGAGGGTTGCACATTACGGAGAGCTACTCGGCGGAAACCGCGACCCTGGTTCGAATAAATCAATGATCCAGGAGAGGAACAGAAGGACATACGGCAACGGCGGGAGGGACTGGAGCGGCTGGTGGTGTTTGAACCACTGGTGGTGCTTGGACCACTGGTGGTACTGGTGGTGCTTGAGCAGCAGGTGGTGCTTGAGCAGCGCCGGGTGGAGCCGGAGCTTGACCAGCACCTTGTCCACCTCGTTGGCCTCCAAAACCTTGACCTTGACCGGCTGCTGGTGCGCCGCCCTGATCAATAATCAGATCTCATCCTGTCCCCTTTTATAGAGATAGAACATACTGGAGCAGCAGCGCCGCCTTGAAGTTGGGGTGGAGCTTGACCAGCCTAACTCATTGGTCAGAACTTGAACGTTGAGGCAATGGTGAATAACAAACCTGTGCACCTTGCGCGGCTTGACCCTACGGTGCGACAAGAGACATCAGAACATGATAGCCTAGAAGGAGCATGCTTACTTGACCAAAACGACCGCGACCGCCGCCTGGACCTCCTTGAGGAGCGCCAGCTGGGGGACCCTAAAGTGTTATCAGCACATCGAGATCAATGGCGCAAAAATCGACATACTTGACCCTGAACCCCACCAGCTTGCGGTGGCGGGCCCTAGCAATAAGTTGAATATAATTTCAACAGTGAAGATCAGGATCAAACGCACTTGACCACCACCAGATGCGGCTGGCGCTTGCCCGCCAGCTTGCGGCGGAGGACCCTAGGAGAACACAAAGAGTTGAATATGACAATTTTTTAAGGGAGAAAGTAGACGCACTTGAGCACCGCCAGGTGCGGCTGGCGCTTGTCCGGGACCCTGATAGAGCATCAACAATAAGATGAAGGAACCGAGGAATAATATACCTGACCCGGACGGCCGCGACCGCCACCTTGCCTCTGTGGGGGAGGCCCTTGTGCGGGCGGAGCACCCGCCGCAGCTGGCGGCCCCTGACGATGTTCAGCATTACTAAGCTGCAGGGGGGGAAATGCGCGTACAGCAGCTGGTGGGGGCGCGCCTCCAGGCGGACCAAATTGACGTTCCTTTAATCAAGTTAGAAGTCATCGAAAACACAGTAGAAAAAATGAAACTCACAATCAGAGCTCCATCGTGCACATGCGGCATGGGGGCTGCGCCGGCCAAAAGAGCGACGAAGAACGGCAGTAGAGCGAGGGCTTTGACCATGATGTGTAAGGGGGGTCGTTGAAAAGTGCACGGCACAAGGGAAAAAGGCAGGGACGATGAAAAGAAAAAGAAAAGAGCTGACCCCGGGTCAGTAAGAGACGTGCAGAAATGAAGAAGAGGCACAATGACAATGCATGGCGCTTTGCCGCGCGTCTTTATACGGTGGTCTTTCGACTGCCCAAAAGAGAGTCGACAAGCCGAACTGATCAACGCAACGTCAAGTGAATGCGGGCCACCACATTTCTCCGGAAGAAGGGCAACTTTGCATGGTTCCGTGGCTGTTGCTTTGCTGTTGTCTGGTGAGTGAGTTCTTCCGTGGCGGTCGTGGTTCAATGCTGCGCTCCGATCCGTTGTTGTGGGGAAAAAGAGAGAACTCAGAAGCCTGTCATGTTTCTGCGATGCGCCTGATGGCCGAAGGTGATGGTCCTGATGCGTCGCAAACTCTCATGGACATCGAACAAGGTGGAAGAGGGAAATAACTTTTGAAGTGGGAGGAGTACAGCAGAGTAGCTAAAGCACTGGGTCTGAAGTAAGAAGCTTCTTCTAGTGACTGAAGACTCTCGCATTGTCATTGATATACTTGATCTGCTCTGAGCGATAGGTGTCCTAGATCAACGCATTTGAGAAAACAAGAGACAACAAGACAAGCTTGGATAGGATAGGATAGATAGGATAGAATTGGAGACGCACAGAAATCATGGCCGTCTTGTTACTATTCAACTCGAGATTCATCTAACAAACTGGTCTGTCAGCGCAACACCAATTGCAAGATAGTAACGCACAGGAGCGTCGAGAGAATATTTGCACCAATCCGGGCGTTGAATTCCGTGCCCGTCATTCGGCGTGAGGCTGGTTGCAAAAGAGACCCAATAGTCAACCATCATCCGACCAAGAGCTGCCGCTACATCGCCTTCCTTGAAAGCAGCGGTAAAATTGTATACATAGGGCACCTCACCGGTGTGCACAACTTGTAGAAACAAGTAAGCGGACCAAATACCAAAGAAGAACGCCAGAAATTACCGCCGAGATTATCGAGACTCGCCGGCTCTCCCGAATATGGGGGAGGTGAAAGTGGCCTAGCCACCGGACCGGTGAATAAGTATGTATAGACGGGCACTCCAGCCTTGACAAATGTCATTGTTTGTGTGGCAAAACGGCTTGGAGCATGGAACATAATATCGCCCACTTTCGAGTCATAGTCAGATTCAGATCGGAACAGAGCTAAAAGAACTGACAAATAGCCGAATATCGCTTGAATTGTGAGCTCAACCCGAAGGTCTTGTTGCCAGTATTATATGGTGACCCAAGTGCAGGAATATCTGGGTACAATTGCAAGAGTTGATCTGCGACACGGCCGACTTTGGAAGCTGACGAATTAGGTGACGTGAAATTCATAATCATGTGATCGCGTATAAAACTGGTCGAGTTGGTGAGCGGCGTTGCGAAATACGTCCCTTGCACCAATCAGGAGAAGCAAACTGAACAACAATATTGAAATACCTTCGTCAAGATTATTTCCGATGATCATTGGCACGTGCGTGTACTTTCCTGCTTGAAGGAGGCTTGATGGTAAATCGGGGAGAAAATCGTGATCCAAGGTTGGGGCCCAAGGATAATCCTCATCTGCAGCGGAATTTGCAGCTGAAACTGCAGTTAATAGGTCTGTGCTACTGACTTGCGATGAAGGATCTTGCAGACAGTCGAAGACGTCATGTCGCCGGTGAGAGCAGGAAGGCGGGAGAGCCGTCGCAAAGTTGTCCCAATCGTCTTGACGATGAGTTCCGCCAAAGGTGGGTATAAGGCTTGTTGTGCCTGATTCGAGAATCTACTCCAATACGATGAGGTTAGTCTTGCTACCTGGTCACGGTAAGTACTCACCAAAGCTCTAATCAATCCCTTCAGTTTATTGTTCACCTGCAATGCAGCAACTGAGGCAGCGCCGCCACTCTCGCCGAACAGTGTGACCTGATTGTTGATTAAGAGTCAGAGAACTGGCAAGTCTGAGTCAAGCTAAGTGATACCTTATCCTTATTGCCTCCAAACACGCCGATGTTGCGACGGACCCATTGCAGTGCTGTAAGTTGATCTTGAAGTGCAAGATTTAAAGCACCTTTATTTGCAGCCTCGACACCCTGTGGAAAGCCAAGCGGCCCGAGGCGATATGCCATACTGACGTATAGCACGGGAGTGCCCTACATATAATAAAATATCAGATTTGGGTCAAGCCCGTCAAGGAAACAGGACAGACGCGTGAGATGCTTTGGGAAACAAGGGCTGCAGCATTGTAGCTGGAGGGGTTGCCAACTGAACCCAGTCAAGAATCAAGCAAATATTCATTCTGAAGATCACTCACATTTGAATCCTCCTCCATGAATCCAAACCATGACTGGGAGCGCTGCATGGCTACTAAGACCTTTTGGTCGAAAAATGTTCACAAAAAGGCAATCTTCTGAGCCGGGGCCAGTCTTGAGAATGGTTAGATTAATAAAAGAGGCTGGATATAAACACTCACTGGAGGTAGCTGGAGACAGGGACTACCAAACTGGGTAGCGTTGAAGGTGGATACATTCAGCTCGTATTTTTTAATGGGAGACTTGAAGCGAAGGGCACCGATCGGAGGTTCAGCGTATGGGATGGCTGTGGTGAAGTTATTGAGGAAAGGTGAGTGGGAGTGACTGACCTCCAAAGAACTCCACTGAGCCATTGAGGAGGTAGGTGCCATTCAGTGTAGTGTTGCCCAGTTGTAACGTTGGAGATTGCGCATTGATCAGAACCGTACCAATGGCAGCAAGTAAAATGAGCTGGAACGTCAAGCTAGACATACAAAAGGAGAGAATGAAGAAGTTGGTCATTTTCAGGGCCTTTTATACCTCTCCGCTATGGTAGACATCCAGAATATTCAATTCAGGTCATTCCAGCCGGCCATGAAGGTTGTGCGAGTGTGCCCGAGTCCATCGCTCACGGTCTGCGACACTGCCCTCCGCTTATATGGTGATGTCGACTCGGCAAGGACTCGGAAAGACAATCCGCAGGGATTCCCGCAGAGCATTTCTCTTCGGTACTTGGCGTGAGGAAGGGAGGTTTCCCTGGAACAACGGCCTGGAATCTTGGTAAACCAGACCTGAAGGATGCGATTCTCGCGAGTTACCAAAGGCCCGAGCATTTGAGTCGTCTCGGCCCAGCAATATATCATCATTGCTTAGCGTCGGCCTGATTCGCAAACAGTGCGAGTCTGCCGCAACCGCTTCAATGAAATATCTACCAAGAGCAATGCTATTTTGAACTATGTGTTTCAGGTAAGAGTTGTCAGTTGAACCGTTCTGGATGTGGGAATCGTGTTGACCCTGTTCATCCAAGGACTTGCGGCAAGTGAAATTTGAAAAACCGTAGTAGAATCTTGAAGGAAGGAATAAGGGTATTCACTAGACATTCTTCGATGGTTGTAGTCTGTGGTCAACATATATCATCATGGTCACGACTGACAGACTAGAGTTTGTCCAGTCCCACGATGCTCAATTCCCATGTACCTTCCACTTCCTGGCTTCAGCCTCTTGCCAAACCTCATATCTGCTTTTCTCGGCTCTGTCTCGTCCTGGGATAGACCAAATACTCGCGAAATAGCGTGCTTGGACCTGAAATCCAGCATTCATATTGAAAATACGACCATAACCAACGTATCCTACCTGCCCGCAGGCTCCTCAGTTTCTACGCCAGAAATCACCTTGCGTGTGTCCACAACTTTATGTCGCGTTGAGTTTTCCACACAGACAAGTCCTACCTCGTACATTAGAGCAGAAGCATGGCTTCCGGATGAGTGGTATGGTCGGTTCTTGGGGCTAGGAAATGGCGGGCTGGGCGGCTGTGCGTCACTTTGTTTCTCCTTGAATTCTCATATGAATTCCTGAAGACATCGACTACCGTGGTCTTGACTATGGCTCCAGCCTTCACTTCGCCTCTGTGGGCTCAAACAACGGTCACGGATGGATCTACCGGCTTCCAATTTCTACACAACCCAGAGGTTATCAACGACTTCGCGTTTCGAGCTATTCACGTTGAAGCCGTAGTGGGTAAGCAAATCGTCAAGGCATACTACACACACGCCCATACCAAGTCCTACTATCTTGGCTGTTCAACTGGGGGACGTCAAGGAACCCAATCTGCCCTTAAATATCCAGCGGACTTTGACGGGATTCTTGCGGGAGCGCCAGCGACAGACTTCAATCATTTGCAGTATTGGACCGGCATAACAGCGAAGCATCTTGGTTCTCCGACGCCAGAATCCTCGCCATCATATATCCCTCTTGACACTTGGCACGACCTCATTGCAGAAGTGGTTCTAAAAACATGCGATCTGCTCGACGGCGTAGAGGATGGGACAATAACCGAACCTGACGACTGCAAGTTTGATCCTCAGGTCTTGTTGTGCGGGAAATACTCAACGAGTTGCTTAACACAAGCTCAAGTAGACGCTCTGCACAAGATATACTCGCCCGTTTATGTTGATGGGAAACTCATTTACCCTCGTTTTGATCCTGGCGCCGAAAATGATACCGCCAGTGCTAGTCTGCTTTCAGGAGCATTTCCAGATTTTCCGAAGGTAACCACCCTCAATGTCTAGTCATTAACTCTGATGATTTGGCAGAACTGGCTCAGATATGCCGTGCTCAACGACACTCACTTTGATGGTAGTGAATTCAACGAAACCCACCTCCGCGCAATGGACCAAGTCAACCCAGGTGGTATCTCGACATTCGACGGAGACTTCTCCGTGTTTCGCGCGCGTGGAGGTAAATTCCTGACCTATCACGGCCGTATGGACTCTGTAAGTCCCTTACCTCGGTCATGAATGTACCTTGGTTTATTTACTCGATGTCCAAAGCTCATTGCGTCAGGCAACTCTAAACGCTACCATGATCTTGTCGCCCAAGACTTCGACACGCCTGACGACTTCTATCGCCTTTTCCTCGTTCCTGGCATGGGTCATTGTGCAGGAGGACCAGGAGCAACAAAATTCGGCCAATTGGGCCGCGAAACAACTGCTGCAAAGAACGACTCGCAGCACAATATCCTGTTAGCTCTGGTGGATTGGGTTGAAAACGGACTGGCGCCTGAAATCATCATTGGCACCACGGCGGATGGTCGTACGAGAAGCCATTGCTTGCATCCTGCAAAGAGTGTTTGGGATGGATCTGACTTTGTCTGCGAAAGTTGAATGCTTGAACTACTTATAAGTTATACGTGTATAAAAAGATTCCGGCCCGATGAGTCATGACGTCAGTGATTCGGCATCAGGGTTTGTTTTCTGCGGATGCCATCTACTTAGATTTGCTCCCAGCCAATGGACTTCCAACTCCCAAGTTTCAATCTACTCACAAGGCTTTTACCTAGCTTGTTGTCTATCCTTTCCTCCCAGTCCGCCCATGAGAAAGCGTGCCTCTCCCTGAAAACTCTTGACCTCGAAAACACGACAATAACTCGACTTTCTTATGTTCATAAAGGCTCTAGCGTGGCGACATCTGGGCCCTGCACATCCAAAGCGGATGTCACTGCGTCATTATGCCGTGTGGAGTTTACCACGAACACAAGCAACACTTCGTCCGTTCGGGCAGAAGCATGGTTGCCGGATGAATGGTATGGTCGATTTCTGGCCATAGGGAACGGTGGACTTGGTGGCTGTATCGACTACGCTGAGCTGGACTACGGCTCGTCTATGCATTTCGCAACGGTCGGCTCTAACAACGGACACGACGGCCGAAACGGGATTGTGTTCCTCAACAACCCAGAAGTCATCAACGACTTCGCATTTCGGTCGGTCCATGTAGAAGCCATGATCGGAAAGCTACTCGTCGAGGCGTACTACCAACAAACGCATACGACATCCTATTATCTGGGATGTTCAACCGGGGGGAGACAGGGAATGCAAGCTGCGCTGAGGTACCCAGATGACTTTGACGGCATTATTGCTGGCGCCCCAGCCACGGACTGGAATCATCTGCTATACTGGGCTGGCGCCACAGCTCAGGCTATCGGTGCACCGACACCTTGGTCTTCCCCATCGTACATTCCTCCACGAAAGTGGCGGTCCTTGATTGCAAAGGAAATCCTTCGGCAATGTGACGCGCTTGATGGAATCGCAGATGGGATCATTTCCGAGCCAGACGACTGCGACTTCGACCCACAAGTCCTTTTATGCAGCCATAGTGCTGGCGCCAACCTCGAGAGGTGTCTAACGGAACCACAAGTAGCCGCATTGCGCAAGATCTACTCGCCTCTGAAGGTAAACGGAGAACGTGTTTATCCTCGCTTTGATCCTGGGGCAGAGAGTACACCACTCGGCTTGACTGTCTTCACAGGAGTGTTTCCTCCGACTCCGAAGGTCTTTTTCTTCTTGCTTTCATTCATCTTCAGCATCTAATAAAGAGACAGGACTGGCTTCGATATGCCGTCCTCAACGACAGCAAGTTTGACGGCCGAGACTTTGGTGAAGGCCACCTGCTCTTGATGGATGAGATCAACCCAGGCGGCATCTCTACTTTCGACGGCAACTTGTCATGCTTCCGCGATCGGGGAAGTAAGCTGCTGACCTACCATGGTCGCATGGATCCTGTAAGTCACCGTCTCTTCCCTCAAACCTTATTGACATCCCGGCCTGCAGATTATACCATCCGGCAACTCAAAGCGCTACCACAACCTTATCACGCACACCATCGGGTCTCCGGATAACTTCTACCGTCTCTTCCTTGTGCCAGGCATGAGCCATTGCGCTCGCGGGCCCGGTGCCGCGAACTTCGGACAGCTTGGCGGAGCGGTGGGTCCACGAAACGATTCGGAGCATAACATTCTTTTGGCACTCGTCGATTGGGTCGAAGGCGGGGTTGCGCCGAATTCCATCGTAGGCACAAGCGCCGAACGAAATAGAGGGAGGACAGCGGAGACGAGGGTGCATTGCATGCACCCTGCCAGGAGCATCTGGGATGGGTCCAAGTTCATTTGCCAAAATTAGATTATTATTATCGGTGCAATCGCATCGGTGGCGAAAATTCAATTATGTACGGGGGGAAAAAGTAAAAATATTCAAAATCTATACGTTTGGTGGCATTTGATTCAATCGATATTGCGCCCACATTGGAGCAAAAACGTGGCCACAACGGCAGATTCCAGCAGCCCACGATGAATGGCTTCGCCCGTCAGCTCAAGCGTAACAGACGTTTGGCCGCGGGAGATTCTTCCCAAAAGTTCTGGATCCGAAGTATTGGAATATATCTGACGCCGAGTTGAGACTGACGAAGCAACATGAATAATCAGGAACATACCCAAATGAAGTTCTCCCGTGGTGTGAAGGTCATGCTGCTGCCGTTATTCAGAGTCATCGCACGAGCACTGTAAAGAACAGTCAGAGTGATTCTGTTTGTCCGTGGGAAAAATATACCTTTGATCAGGCGTCAACGCCAACATCTGGGAAGACCTCTGCCGAGAGACAGCCCCTTGTACCTCGACCTCGGGGTGTCGATGCCATTGAACCAGCGCAATGTTGGTCCCCGCTGCATTCTGAAATCCGGTCACGCCTTGCACTGGCGCGTCGGTCAAGACGCGGAAATATGGGCGTGATTGTGGGCCAATAACAGTACAATTGAGAATTGTTGGTGCAAAAGAGGTGAAGCGGAAGGCAAATAATGTAGGCAGCGTTACTGGGGGCGAGAACGGCAGGGCGCCATACATCGAGGGGCGAGAACCACTGGGCATGGAATGTTGTGAGTTCCAGCCTTGTTGAGCGTATGGGTTAAAAGTCGACATCGTGTTGGAGAAGGAGGGCTTTGGTGGGGCTGCTTGTGCTTGTGCCTGTGCTTTGGAAGATAGAGAAGAATGATTTGGTCCACATCCTTAAGTATCTGGCTCGGCTCGCGAATATACGCGGTTAAGCATTGAACCTTGGAGCTCGAGTCAGTGTAACGCTCAAGGAAGATAATTGTTTCAAGAGTGTACCTCCGACTCTTGCTTCCGAGCTCAGCATGGGTGCCGACATCCATTGTCGGCGGGGCGGTTGGTGCGTCGCGCTTGGTGATCTCGGCTGAGCTTAATCTGTTGCCATCATCACGGGGCGCTATCCACGCTGCTCGGTTGCGTTGTTACATTTACACGTCGACAAGGAATTAATCGCGACGGATTGTGGGCGCATTTCTCGCGACTTTTGCCCAGTCCTTCTTCGCCAGACGACGGACAGACGGACGACCGCCATACCAGAATGTCCATTCTGGGATTCGGAATTGTCTCCGTCATTGGAAATGAAAGAAACAATTCGATAGACACAGCACACCGACACTCTAGACACCGGGTCTGTGTCGACAGCGTAGGAGAGCATTGGGGACATGGAATCCGCAGGAAGCCGAGAGAATCTTGAGGGAATGGCGGAGTGGCAATGCCAAAAATAAAATTAGTTATCAATCCAAGGGAGAATTGGACTTGGCCGAGCAGTGTCTTCAAGTAGCCCTGAAGCTGGATCTAGCGGTAAGAACATACTTAAGCTCTCAAGAAGGACAGATCGACGAACCTTCGATTGATCACTTCCCTTGGAAGGAAACACCGAAATGATGCTGCAATCCAACTGGCCGAATGGATCAGCGTTGACCAGTGGCAGACGATCCTCCCGCTGCGGACCGAACGATGATGACTGAGCATCCAGGCACCAAGAAAATTGCGATGCAACTCCGGTTTACCCGAGAATACCACACTGGGACCCACTCTCCCTCCTCCACATGCACTGGGACGCGCAGTCGCTCGGCTGGTATACCAAATGGGAGAATTGTAAAAATTAAAAGTGGGCGCTTCGAGCAATTGAGGTCGTCGCATTTCCTGTGCACCGCACACGAGGTCGTCGCTGCACGAATAAGCGACCGTAATCGACCATGACTACTGGGACCATGCATCCACCGGCCGCGGGTCCGCAGCTTTCGTCGCTTTCACCTTCCGGTGCGGCGTTCCGAGGCTGCCTTGACGCCAGATTATCCACGTGTTGCGCTCGGTAAGGTTCATCGCCACACGACCAAACATAGATTCTAGGATTGTCGTGGGGTCGTCGTTCGGAAATAGCGCCTATGACCAATGGTGCTGCCATCCTTTTCGATATGTAGGTCAGTGTAAGGAGTCTGTATACATGTGTCAGCGTTGTGATTTGTAGCATGAATAGCTATCGTACCTTCGCAGTCTGACAAGTTTCGAGCGCAGGGTCAATGCATAGACCAATGGTGGTTGACAAGGCTGCTGAGATGTGTGACGAGTCACACCAATCAATATTATCGATCAATCCCTCGTCTCGAAGAGGAAACATCATTCCCATATCGGGGTGCCATCGTTAGCAGGGGAACAACCACAGCAAGATAAAATATCGAGAACGCAAGAGCAAGTATGTGTATCTACGTTATGCAGCTTGTAATGTACGTATAAGAGATAAGACTAGGACAGAAAAAAAAATGCTATAGCTGATGTGCATGTGGCGATTTAGTTCGGTCCGATGGAAAAGCAGAAAAAAGAAAAAATCACATAATAACACACTCTTTGTCTTCGGCTTTCGCGCCGGTGAAACCCATCTCAGCAAACGTCGCAGGCCCACCACCGCCCGTCTTTGTGGTGATGAATCCACTCGTGTCTCCATTTTGGCTTGGATTTTGCTTTCCGTTGCCGTTTTGATTCGCGGGAGGCGCTCCGGAGTTTGCAGTACCGGGCCTCCTTAATGGAGGCGTGCCAGCAAGTCGTCCATTTGTCGATGCGATGGAGCCGGCGGCACTTGTCGGTCGATTTCCATTGCCAGGGTCGTTGAGTGCGAATCCCCTTCCAGCGCCTGTTCCAGGTCGTGACGGAGGCTGTTGTTGAGGAGGTAAACTTCCTTCTCGTGGGTGCAGTCTTTGCTGCTGCTGTGGTTGAGCTTGGGGCATTCTGCCGCTGCCTTGTCCAGGTAAGGGTTTTGGCCTTGAATTTGGGGATCCATAGACTTGACCCGGACCGACGGGCGCGGGTGACCCATAGCCGCCCTGACCTGCCCCTCCTTGTCGATAATCGAATCCTCCTGCGCTTCCCATTCGATAGTGTGCTCCAGGACCAGGGCCCTCAGCAATCGAGCTCTTCCTCGCCAACTCCATCACACGTGTTCTTCTATCTGGGGGTGGTGGACCTTGTTGTGGTCGATAAGCCGATGGAGGTCCTTGACCCGATGCTTGACCTCGTCCCCTTCCAACGCCATATGGATCGGGCATCTCAGGATGTGGGTTTGAAAACGATTCCGGCTCGGAAGTCAGTCCACCGGGCATTCCTCCCCCCACGCCTTCGCTTCGTATCCTTGCTTGCGTTCGTTTTCGAACAAGTTTATTTTCAGTCAATGCATCGTGTTCAGAACGACCCAGTGTCTGTGGGGTCGGTTGCTGTAAGGCCTTTAGTCGTTCTGGGGCGTCAGAGTTTCCGTGACCGGCTGCCTGCAAGGACTGTTAGAATGTAAAGAAAACAAGCGCGAGACAAGACTGACCTTGCTGTACCAGTCCCTTGCTTCGGCAACATCTTTCGGCGCACCAATGCCGACTTCGCAATAATAACCCATCGCGAACTCGCCTGAAGGAAGCCCCTTTGCAGCTGCTTTAGTCGCAAAAGTCCGCGCTAAACTTTCGTCTTTCTCGAACGCACCTAATGGAACCATGAGCGCAAGGTAAATTTTGATGCGATGGAGATATATAACGCACCCTCTGCTCCGCACAAAAACCACTTGCTGAGCGCCATGTCGGCTTCGGCCTCCCCTGCTTGACTTGCGAGACTGTACCATTGGACGCTTAGTAATGGGTCGAATGGGAAAGCGCTAATGAGCATCAATATGAGCGAACATCGGTAACGGATCAAGCAGAACGGACCTTGGCGGCACAGCAAATTCAAACGCGTGGCCGAGCTTGTACTGCGCCGGAGCGAAATGCAATCCTGCCGCTCGTTCCAACATTGCTTTCGCATAAACTTCGTGAGACTGGCCGGGAGGCAGAAACTGAACAAGCGATGGAAGCGGGACGCTGGCAGCGGTAAACTCGCCAAGTAAGATGAGAGCGAAAACATAGGCGGGTTGGGGACATTGTAAGCTGGCCCTACAAGCGGCCTGGTGGAGATAAGGTAATGCAGTGTTCAAATCGGTCGATAGTCCGAGCTGTGCGAGAAGATGGGCGGTGCCAAGTCGGTGGAGGGCCGCTGGGTCACGGGCTTTCGCTCCACGGTTAAGACAGTCGAGGGCATGGGTTGTATCGTTGAACTGTTCATAGTCTCTGGCTAGGCGAAACCAGGCAGCACTGTAACCTGCCCGAGCGGCAGTTTCGAAGTCACGGAAAGCGGCTCGTGGGTTTTGAGGGATAAAATTAGGGTAGGCTCCAGATGACGCAAATGTCGCTCGAAGAAAAAGTGCTTCAGGGAGGTTATGGGTCGATGCAAGAGTGAGGAGAAGTGGGACAGCGGCTAGTGCAAGGGGCGATGTCGATAATGAGGGAGTCCGGTCGACGAGGAACATAACATCGCGTGCCCAAGCAAGCTGGAGCTGTGGGTCGTGGTTGGGGGATGTGACAGTACTCATCGCGGCAGTCAGTGCGGAAATGGATGGTAATGGGACGGTCAATGAGCCATCTCTAAGTTCTGGACTAAGCATGTCTCGAATTGTCTAGCAATAAACGCACCTCGGTGGAGAAGGGAGTCTGGGAGGCATTGGAGAAGGAGTGCGGGCTTGCACTGCGTGGATTCCTGCCGCTGGAGCCCACGGAGACCAATCGGAGCCTTGAGGAGGTGGCATTGGAGAAGGGGTAGCCCGAGTCGGATTTGGATTCATGAATGTTGCGTCGAGATCGCGGGCCATCTGCAAGTTTTCATCATCAGCATTGTCATCCCAATCCCAACACCAGCCCCAGAGAAACAGCGACAAGTCGCAGGTCATTGCCGTACGTAAAAACGAAGCAACGAAGGCCAGACAAAGTCTACTTTACTTACATTGGCTCCAAGTTGAGGGTCAACCCGATGGGGCCGAGGGGCAGCAAGTGGGTCTTCGAAATGAGGTGGCGAAGATTCGACGTTGACAAAAGGTGGTGGTGGAACGGGCGGAATCGACATCAGTGGGGAAAGAAGCAAAGTTATAGAGGAGAGTATATATTTGATTTGATCATGTCGATTTCCTCCGACTTGCATCGCAATGACGATGGCTGTACGCATTGCCTTAGACTCCCACAAATTGTCGTCTGGTTCCGCCAGCGACCCGCTTCACCTTCACGACTAGACAGATCCCGACCCGCTTCAAACAACTTAGAGTCTCGAGTTCGAACGTGTCAATGACAATCTCCATCGACTACTTGCGTAACTGCGGAATTACTGTGTTCATCAAATGAGTTCTGACTGAGCAAGAGTCAACCTTAGACCGCTTCGATAACTATTAGTAGGCAATCACCACCTTTGTGAGCTTGCACCCTTCACTTCTCTGAACTGCATATGTTTCCGCAACCTTGGCCTATAATTCAACAACGGTGGAACTGTGACATTGGAACGATCCTCTCAGCTTACCACAAGATTTGAACCCAGTTCTTCAAGTCGTGCCACTGGAGTCTTTGGAGAATGGCTCATCGAATCCCGAGGCTTATGCTAGTACTAGTATCGGTGCTAGCGTTTCCTCAAATGGACAACGAAGAGGACGCGAGTATAAACGGCCAATGTGCGTCCCGGCGACTACTTGAATTGCGTTTCAAACGCAATTGGTTCTAACTATTGACATCGTAAGTACCAACTAAGATTTCAGTCAACCTTCCCACCAGAAGGTTCCCATGGGCTGAGCAATCAATTTTTATTCGGGAACTTCACCCTCATTGTGGGTGGCGGCAAACTGGCGCAGCAGACTCCTTCCTAACTAAATACGAAGATCCACAAGGCATTGTTTTTTTGGCATGACCGCAGGGATCGCAGTTCGACATGGACCGCTTGCTCCAGACTTCCTGATGAGCGTTAGCCATTCTTAGGTCAACCACTAACGCTATACGTTGAAATGACTAGACCAAATACAGAGGTTTTCATGGCGTGTTGCTATTCAAACTAAGGTCTAAATATACCTCAGTCGAGTCACTGCCAATCTTTGAACTGTTATCTGATAACGAGTCATTAATGAATGCAATCTGCATCTTCTTTCCGCTTTCCTACGGCTGCACATTTGCATACGAGTACCTCCCCAGCACTAACACCCACCTATAAAAGAATGATGTCCGTCTCGACCAAATCCACCAAGCACAACATGTCTAAAGCCCCACTCGTCCCTTCACTGTCCAACTCTCGCTCAAGTGAACTGATGTCCCCAGAGCTCTACTCCCTTTGGGCGCAGTCGGACCGCTATCACAACTCGTTCCTCCTCAAACCCGACCCGATCCTCGACGCGGTGCAAGAGCACACCAAAGCCAGAGGCGTCGACTACGAAATCGCAGTGAGCCCTGCCCAGGGTAAGTTCATGAACTTGCTCTTGCTCTCCATCGGTGCAAAGCGAGTATTGGAGGTGGGTAGTTTGGGCGGGTAAGACGACCAAGCCCTCTCAGTCTCCTCATAACGCCCCCATCTTAGATACTCCGCTATTTGGATGGCTCGTGCCCTGCCCGAAGACGGCGAGGTAGTTGCACTCGAGCTTGAAGAGCTCCACGCAAAAGTAATCGAGGAGAACATCAACTCCGCTGGACTCTCCAACAAAGTCCGTGTCGTTGTTGGCCGTGCGCTTCCCTCATTGCAAGCTATGCCCGACTCAGAGCCCAAGTTTGACTTCGTTTTTATCGACGCGGACAAGGAGAGCAATGTCGACTATTTCATTCAGGCCAAGCGATTGACGCGCAAAGGCGGTATAATTGTGCGCTTGGTGATTCTTTCTCCAATTCAAGGTAACTCACGAGGAGTCATTAGATGGTGGACAATGTTGGTCGGCGTGGTCGCCTGGTAGACCCAGAGAATACCGAGTCCAGCGTCGAGGGCACTCGTGCATTGCTCCGATATATCAAGGACGACAAAGATGTCGAAGCGACAACCATCCACACCGTAGGAGAGAAAGGATTCGATGGTTTCTTGTACGCATTCTTAAAGTAGCTATATGATGATGGGAAGCCTAGGAACGTATGAATTCATGTTACTCGACACCAACAGCAGAAAATTTGTACCCACTTTTGTATCAACTGGATCAATTATTCAGGTTCATTGGCAGACGAATTGAAGACCATTCCAGACACTTCGATGGGGGTAACGGCAATGTCTTCGTGTTTTCCCTCGATCACCAACACCAATGATTGTATCGGGCGTGACACCATTCTCGACCCAGTCAACGAGCGCCAGCAGAATGTTATGCTCGCGGTCATTGCGCACACCCAAGGCCGCGCCATGCTGACCGAACCTGGTTGCGCCAGGTCCGCCGACACAGTGGCCCATGCCTGGAACAAGAAAGAGACGATAAAAGTCGTCAATATCTCCCATCGTTTGGGAGACTAGATCGTAGTAGCGTTTCGAGTTGCCGGACACAATAAGCTTGGTGAAGTAAGTCTCTGTTGGCAGCCAGAAAGTAGGAAAAAACATACTGGATCCATCCGTCCATGGTACGTAATGAATTTGCCTCCACGATCGCGGAATGCAGCAAGGTCGCCACTGAAGGTAGAGATTGCACCGGGGTTGATTTTGTCCATGATACGAAGATGTTCTTCCTTTAAGGTGCGAATGTCAAATGTGCTATCGTTGAGAACAGCATATCGCAACCAATCCTACAAGGAATTAGACAGTCCTTCCAATAGTTAAGTGACTCCCGTACTACAGTGTAACTGGGGACTTCTCCGCTCAGCAAAGCAAAGCTCCCTGCGTCCCTTTCTGCTCCAGGGTCAAATCGAGGGCAGACCAACTCGCCGTCAACGAACAGGGGCGAGTAGAGTTTGTGTAATGCGTATATTTGAGAGTGGGTCAAACAGTGCCGCGTCATCGTCCCTCGACATAAGAGAGACTCGGGTTTGAAGTCGCAGTTGTCTGGCTCTGTGATAATTCCATCCAACACACCATCTTTCCAGTCACATTGTCTAAGAATTTCTGGGGCTATGATGTTACGCCAGGTGTGAAGAGGGATGAGTGCCGCGTCGAGATTGTTCGCCGTTATCCCGCTCCAGTATATTAAGTGGTTGAAGTTGGTTGCGGGAGCACCGGCGATGATGCCGTCGAAATCTTCGGGAAACGAGAGTGCGGCACGGGTGCCTTGTCGTCCACCAGTTGAGCAACCCATGTAATAAGACTTGCTCTGTGGTTGCTTATAGTATTCCTCGACAATTTGTTTTCCGACGACGGCTTCGATGTGGATGGCTCTGAAGGCAAAGTCATTTATCGCCTCGGGGTTGCCGGAAAATGCAGCGCCACTGTCTCCATCGTGCCCATTGTTTGAGGCAACAGAGGCAAAATGGAACTTGGACCCGTAGTTCAGCCCAGTATAGTCAATACCTGTTATCGAGTCACCGGTGGTTTTTAGGAGATGAATAAAACACGCACATCCAGCCAAACCGCCATTCCCCAGTCCTAAAAACCGCCCATGCCATTCATCAGGCAGCCAAGCCTCCGCGCGAACGGACGAGGCTTCGCTGGTCCGTGTTGTGAACTCAACGCGACACACTGATGCCACTACACCCGTGTTTGCCGTGCACGGGCCCGGAGTTGAGACAGTGGAGCCTTCAACAACATAAGAAACGCGGGTGATCGTCGTGTTTTCCAGGTGAAGACCAGACTTCAGCGACAAGCATGCCGTTCGGTAGGGAGAGGCTTCATGGTTTGATGAGAGCCATGGAATGATGTAGGGCAGGAGTTTGGTGAGCACGCCGACTCCGGGAAGGACGTTCATGAGAAGAGCCTCCGGGATCGCGTGATCCGTTGCACAACTTGGATACCTCAAAAAACTTCCTTGTTTTTGCGAAGCTCCTCGTGTCCGAGGATACTACCATTAAATTATGCCTCCAATGAGAAGTAATTTGAGCATCTGCAAAGTTAAACTAAAGAGGTGAAGAGACTCGGAGTTTAGATTCTGACTGTAATTTACTGCCAGTGCCAGTGGTGCCCGTGCTATGGACATACTTACTACTAACCTATTGACCCGATGGGAGCCTACTTGCACTCATGGGAGGCGTCTCAGTTTCTGTCCAAATTGACATTAATTAAATCTTTGAACCCCAGTCAGACGGGCCATGGTAGTGTTAAGAAGTACATACTGGTATACGTAGTCCGAGTCTGCGACCGTGACCGTGTAGACGACTGCTCCTAAAAAACGCTACGATGACCATGTTAATGCCAGTGGCTGTGCGAGAATTTGTCCTCCATCATGCATTCAACTAATCTCTCCAAGTCAGCTTTGCCCCATTCTTCGTGAAGTCTTGGAAAGGCTTGTATATTATGCTCCCACCCTTCTCTCAGGTGCTGTGATTGTCCACAGTGAGCCGAGTAAATCAGGCATGAACTTCCCATCAACCTGGCCATCAAAGCTTGAGACGATGCAAAGTTTGAACGTTCTGCTTCAATAGATGACGACTCTACGCGTTCTCGACGCGTTTTCACGTGTCCTAGGCATCAGAGGAGATATTGAGCTGAATATTTCTTGGATAACTGGTTTATATCCTCGATAAATGGCTTGATTTCGTCGATATTCGCAAAATTCAGGTCCCGTCGACTCTTACGAGGGTTAAAACTATGTGTACGCTATTAAGCACTCGATATCCATCGCTTTGGTGGGGTAGTGGTAACCTGGGTCGTTGCCAAGTCGGTTCGCTACTGTTTCGACCCGCCGGGGGTTCGATTCCCCCCCAAAGCAGTTGAGCTCCAAATCATTGGGGGATCCATTCTATTTTGTGTCTGTTTCGCATATAATTGGCCACACCGTTGGGTGCGGTTCATTGAGTAGATTCCGAAGATGCTAAAATTTACACAGGAATACCTAGTTTTGAGTGAGAAAGAGCTTCCACAGTCTCGGACATAAATTTTTTATGTGTGACAAAAAAAATCAGGCTGTGGCCAATTGAAAACAGCTGTAATGGTAGCCCTAGACCTTTGATTACTATTGGCAGCTAGCTGGGGTGAGGAACGAGCCACAGTTAGGCTAGCTGGCTGCTGCTGGAGAGCACTCAGCGGCGGCCATCAGCTAATATGTCACACGGGTCACTCCCATTCATTCTTAGCTCAACACCACCATCTAGCCTTGCCTTCAAGACTTTTCCCGCGTTCCGCGCCTACTCTCCTCACGGGCTCTGGAGGGGCCGGCTGCTTGCTTCTGGCGTCGGTTCCCACCCAGTCGTGCGTTGTGCTGGCCACAGGCTGTCTTGAGTTTGGTCTCCTGCCCAGAGCTGCCTTGTTGCGCTCTTGTGGCTGGGAGCACCTCAGGTAAGCATCGCCCATTCCCTGGAGTTGCCTCAGTGCGCCTGTGACGGGTATATGCATAGTACACGGCCAAATGCCATACATAAGTCAATAGGTCACTCTGTGACAGTAGCATAGTAACTTGATCTTGTCTTTCATCGTCTTTTGGTCTCTTCCTCTCCTCGTACCCCTACGACCGCCTGAGTATGCCTTAACTGCTTCCTCCATCATAGGCTACGATTACCCTTTGCCTGAGGGATGTCTGGACTCCAGCATCCAGTCTGAGCATACTGCATCTGCTCACCTCCTGCCCTGTAGGTTACAACGGGGCTCCTACCGGTTCCATTTCACCACCCAGAGGCCCTTCGGACCCGCGATGCACCGAGGCATCACAATGGAGCCCACTGCGAGGGGCTTCAAGGGTGGTAAAGTGGATATATGCTCTATGCATTTTCCAAGAGCTGGTTTGGGGGGCAGCAGAATTCCAGTTGCTTCCCGAACCACCTCTTAGGACCACTACAACCCTCCTCTTCCCTCAGACCAAGCTGAAGAGTGAGGAGTCGGCGCCAGCGAGCCCAACACGATGATGATGTGGCACCATCACTCGTTGCTTGTCGCTGGATTCCAGCTGCAGCAATGAGTTAGCTTGGTCTGAGCCTCTTCCCCTCTTACCTTTACTCTTCTCCAGAGGGGACAGACTGAGGCAATAGGTCCAATGGGCACTGTCCACTTGGACCATTTCCCTAGCTCTGTTTCTACTTCTTATTTCTTCATTTCTGCTACCACCTCTATCGACATGTGTGGCTACGCACCCTTCTCCCCTCCATTTCCCCCCGGTCAATTCCGCGTCAACGGCAATACCTCCGCCAGTGACGGTATTCGTGACGTGGCCACTTCCTACCTTGACTCCCGCTACGACATTCCCCCGATCCAGTTGCTGAACCGACTCATCTAGCCAGTTCAGCAATGCTCCCCCCGGACCGTTACGAGTCCTGGCCAGACACTGACGCGGATGGGTTGCAACGAACTGGCGAAATAGCTGCAACGCTCGCGCTGGGGGGCTGGGTATGTGATACAGAGCGCTCCCCTCGCAACTGTGATGAGGGACGTTTTGACGCGGGTTTAGTTGGAGAGAAGACGGAAGATGAAGATGAGAAGCTGTGTAGAGGACTGGATTCCAGTTTGGCTCGCACGTGTAGTTCAGTGTCATAGTACAGATTCCGTCGGTGAGCCGCCTTAGCAGCGGGCTCGGAGGGCACCGCCGGAGGTCACGCAGTTGCATCCTCACGACTCCTTTTCGAGAGTCATCATCCCCTACTCGCCAGACCCCAGTCGCCCTCTCCGGCAGCGCCGCGATGACTCGTGGCACGATGGCAATTCCCCCGTTGATAAGCCGCATTTTGGAACACACATAGAAAACCACCGTTTTTGTTCGTTTCATGGGTACAGCGCACGTCTAGGAACTGGCATGAGTCCCGAATGGCCAGTTAGGGAGATATCTGCGAGGAGGCATTTCGACTCGACCGTTGTTGATAGCAACTGGCCGTTCAGAACGACTCTTACAACAACCAAAAACAACAGCAGAGCCCAACCAACATAGAGGATCCATCCAATCCTTTATATATACCAAAAAGGGAGTGTAAAACAAAAGGCATATTCGGTCTGGCACGCGCTGGGACTCGAACTCAGAACGCTCCGACGAAGGTTCAACCAGGCTTCGAACGGATCAGTCCCTGACAGCATTGGAACGCGGTTTCAGAACTTACGCAAGGACAAGGACATGTGGAGGTGCGGTTAAACGGGAAGCATGACTCAGTGGAAACGAGGGCTTGGCTGCAGATCGCGGCGACCTTAACCCGCAACCATCCAACCGAACAACTCGACAGTAGATTGCAATTATCTCGTTAAGAGATTTGCCTAACGGTGTCTGGTGGTTAACCTCAAGTCATGGATATTGATGGAAAGCTAGGAAGTGGAGCAACACGACGATAACAACAACGGTTAGCGGACCGTTCACAAAAATGCATAGACGGTCGCAATAAAGGAGGATTTACAAAGGTCATTGATACCAAACACGCTACCGGTCATCTAGACCTGGATTTTCGACTCTGGGCCTTATGGCGAAACGATACCTTACAAATTATGCACATGGACCATCATTCTGTTGTGGCGATTTACCTGATCTTATCATTTTCTGTTTTAGTATTTATATCTCTGTCCTGTATTTGAGCGATTCACGGATTGCCCAGCGTTACTAGGTGCATCTGGGGATCTAGCTTGTCAATATCATCCTGCTAGCTCTTTCATTCAAGTAAAAAGGCGTTGTGATCGAAGAGTTGAGGGTTCCGGTTGCCGTATAAAAGAGTTCCGGTTGGCGTACACTTGGTTTCGGTTGGCGGTCGAGAGTTTAAGGCAGTTAGTTCCTGACTTGAGACGACTCCTTGGGTTTAAGGCAGTTAGTTCCTGATCCAAACGAGTATAAACGGTTCTGGGCATCGTATTGGCACTTTCCTATTGCTGGATTTCGTCGATAGTACGCTTAAGGACAATCACAAAACAAATCTTTAACAAGATTTCATTCGATCTACCCTACAACCTTGCACACCCGTGTACAGGCTCTGTTCCCAGGGTTCTGCACTCGTATTAGGAGACGGTTATTGGTGGTTGTTGGACGTTTGGAACGGTGTTATACGGTTATCGCTCAGGCAGAACGACTATTTGTTGTTTTGTTGTTAAGTTTTAGTTGTGTAGTGTCGGTCTCATCTCCGGTCTCCCCACCCGTCATCCACCCTCATCACCGTCACCGGACCGGGCTAGCCAGCTGGGGGGCGAGCGTCGTGTTATGCTCGTGCCAAGCATTTCGAAGATGTCACGTGCCTGTGACGTGTCGTGGCTAGCTCCAATATCTTCTCTCAACCTCCACCTCCTTCCCTCGCCTTCAACGATCTCAACGACTCGCATGGTCTCGAACGAAGGACGAGTGATGCCGTCGAATGCTGCATTGATGGATGGGCAGAGGCTCGGTTGACTTGCGCTGCAAAGTAGCTTGCGAGCGGGCCATTGGCAGCAGAGCTTTACACCGTTGGATTCCAGCGGTGGTTCAGCTATACTGCCTAAATGCTCTGGCCATTCTCAGCCTCCTCCGGGCTCAGTGTCCTCCACCGAATTAGTGCTCGAAGCCGAGCGAACGCCGCAAAGGTGGATTCAAGCAGATGGGGAGACAGACAAGAGGCGACGAGATGTACTCAAGCTATTGGTGAGTATACACTAGTTAGTCAATTCCTCCAAATCCCCGTTCACAATGCCACACGATATCACTCCTTTCGAATTCTGGACACGACCTCTCCAATGCAACTCTTACCGCAATGCTAATCGATGCCGCCATGGCCTTGCAAGCTCATTGTCAAGAGCAGCGGGGACGAATCAAGCTATTCTGAAGCCGTCAAGCTGGAGGGAGCGAAAACAAGGGTGTTCGCTAACCCAGCCCTTCCGCCTTCC